TCCCGAGCCGCTCGCGTTCCCGCATCCGCCGCGGCCGCTCCCGGTGCCGGCCCGAGCGGAGCCCGGTCCCGACCTGCGGAGCGCTGGAAGAGGGGGAGGCGGTCGTTTCTCTCGAGAGAACGGCGCTCCGCTCCGTGTATGCGGCCGGAGCGGGCGGCTGCAAGCCGGGGAACAAAGAGGAGCGGAGGGGCCCGGATCTGCTCGGAGGGGACGTTGGGGGGTTGCCCGTAGGGTGCGGGGATCGCTCCATCCCCGCCCTCCTTCCTCGAGACTCCGCAGGAGTTTTCCTGCCGCTCCCCGCAGTTACCTGGATGGGGCGGGGGATCTGCAGGCTGTTCTCCCTGGTTGTTCTGTAGTGTTGTGACATTTAAAAAAAAAATCTGGTCAGAAGGCAATGTTAAGTATCTGTTAGTGGGCTGCCTGTCAACCGTAAGAGCAAGGCATGTCCCAAAAATGTAATTATCTCAAAATTCAGCATTACAAACCACGGACATGCAGAGAAAATGCTGCGCTTAGCGCATGTCTGTCTCTAGAGACCAGAAAGGGCAGCTCCTGTACTTCAGCAGCCCCAGGAGGAGCAGGGCTTCAGGCTGTCCTCATCAGGAAATCTATCTGGGATCAAAAAGGTGAAAATAGTGGAATCCAGAAGTAGTAAGTGGAGAGGTTTTTTTGCTGGGCACAAATTAAGGCTGTTCATCTGCTGCAGCTTCATTTTTTTCCTAAGCCTGTTTGGACTTTTAAAGTGTATCCTCAGCACTGAGCATCCTACACGCAAAGCAGGTGCCTTCACAACCTGATCATCATGCTTTGTCTGGTTACTCTTATGACCTCTCAGCCTTTGCTGAGTTGCCCTGTTCCCAGTCTGATTTTTCTTTGTAAATGTTTTCTTTTAGTCAAATCCCGATGGTACCAACGGTACTTCAAGCCAGGAAAGCTGCTGAGCTGAACGTAGCCCTGCACTCAGTCCTGATACATTTTTGGGCCCAGCACAGTGCTGCACCACTGCATCCTAATGCAGCGCCATTCCCATCGCTGTGGGGGTTTGTGGGGCTGCAGGGCTGGGCAGCAGCCGGGAGCTGCTGGAACACATCGCTCTGTGAGGCCTCCGTGCTCCAGGATCGCCGGCGTGGTTGGCGCAAGCAGCTCCAGGAGCTCATGTCCCAGTAGCTGCGAGGCAATGGGACAGGTAATATCACTGAGCCTCATCCTACTTCCTGAGAGAAAAGGATGCCTCCCATCACTCTGACTGGCTCGTGTTCTGTTTCTGTGTTCTCTCTCTTTGGGGAGCTCTGGAATTGGGCTCTGCACCAGCTGCCATGCTCGCTGGAGACACTGGGGAGCCTTAGGGCAAAAAGGGGAGTGTGTTCATGTTGCAGATCTCTGGGCTTTTGTCCAAAGAGGTGAAGCAAAGAGGTTCGAATGCCTGTCCTGCCTATACCTGGCTCCCTCCTGCTGTGCTGTTTGCTCAGGTAACTCAGGGCTTTTCTCAGAGCACTCTTATTCATCCTTCCATCACCCGTATGTCCTCTGTCGCAAGGAGCAGGGGCTGTTGGGAGAGCATGGGGTTCTCAGGGTAAGGGAAGAGCTTCCTTGTGGATGTTTATTGGTACAGTGACACATTGAGTCTGGGGGAACATCCAAGCACACACATTTCAGTTACTGAGTACTGCTTGTCAGTGTGAGAGCTTCACCTTTGATACGAGCCACTCTTTGCTGAGCAGATTGTGTCTGGCATGGCAGGAGGCTCCGTGAGAGCTGTGAAACACCTGCACCACAAGCTGAAGGTGTGGATTTGTTATTGGTAGGAGTAAGGCATGTAGGAGGCCACCAGGAGATTTTTAACCATTGGCAGTAACATGAAGGGAGATGCTTTTTGATTTAGTACCCCTCCAAATGAAATGGCATACGTAATACATTCCAGTATGTCCCAGTACAGTTCAGTACGTTGAAGCTCATTGGACCTTGTTGTACTATGGGAAATGAGACAGAAATGAGACAGCTCTGCTCAAGTTCCTCACCTCATTTCCTAAGTCTTGAAGTGACAAAAAGCTGTGATGGTGGGGGAGATGCAAATCACCCCCCAGAGAGCACTCACCACCAGCTAAAATCCCACTTCTCATGGTCCCACTGCTTCACCACCATCTCTTCTACCATCGGCAGTGCGAAGGATAAAGGAGCTTTGGTGGGATGGTGTATCCTGGCCATGCCTACAGTGCAGAGCTCTGTGTGATGCTGTCCTGGGAGCCCCGGGACTCAGCCGGAGGAAATGCTGTACAGAAATCCTCCTTATTGGGATAAGAGACTGTTGTTCTGCATGATATTTTGGTTACAAGGTATTTCTAGATGTTCACAGTTAATTTCTTACCTATTTGAAAGAAAATAAAAAGGTTGTTGGGTATTTTTTGTGTGTGTTTTCAAGAAATAAAAATTATGCATTATTCCACATGGCTGTGTGAGACTGAATGCAAACATACACAACTTCAGGAATACGTTTTTAATGCCAAGCACTGCTGGCTGCCTGAAAGGTGACTGTGGGGAAGGATTGTGGCGGAAGGTTGGAGCTTGATAATCCTTGAAGCCTCTTCCAACCCAAGCCATTCTATGGTTCTTCTACACTTTCTTCACTGTAATCACTCCTGATAAGCAGCTTTTTGCTGTGCTCCCTGGTAGCACTGCAGGCATCTTCGCCCTGACAGTGGCAGAAGTCTGAATTGTTAAAGATATTTTCAGCTGTTCCCTAATGAGTCCCTCTTTCTTTGTTGCACTTTAATGAGCTCCAGGTTTATTTTCCTCCCCCTCCTTTCTCTCCTGGTGCTTCTAATTTCAGATAAACATTTAAGATTAGAAGCGGCTCAGGATACGTAACATGACTCTTAACCTCTGTGCAACTTTCTGACTCTGACTTGCCATTAAAAGCTTGATCCATCTCTATTCCTGCAACGTGAAGATTTTCAGCTGAAATTACATCCATGGTTTTTTTCTTTTTTAACAGGAGCAACTTTTCTGTACGGGTTGTGTCACTTTCAGATGCAAAATAGGAAACAGCTGCCTTTTTCAGACATCAAATAAGAGCCACCCTGCATTCACAACCTATTTTCAGGCTCTGTGAAAACTGAAATGTATCTTTTAAAAGTTAATGGTTGCTCTATCTCAGCAGCTGTCATTAACACAGCCATTTTAATTGTTTCTTCATACCTTCTGCGAAGGTATTCACCAATGGAAGGGCAGGGTGCCCTGATCTGTGTTTGATACTTGGATTGCTCCCTTATCATAGAGGCACGTTGTGCTATCTGTTGCCCCATTTGTAGGCATGGTGTGACAATGGGCCTTCCCAACAGAACGGAAAGAACAAAAATCACGAATTAAAGACATTTTTGAATATTAGTTTAAACATTACGTTGTACGCTGCAACATCCTGAACTGCTGTCAGTTTATGGAACAGTCCTGGTGCTGGATTTAGAGAGCTGTGCTCAGCAGCCACAGGACACCTGCATCATTCACTTCCCACTGCCTCATTTCTTCTTTGCTGCGCTTAAGAAGAGGAGCGTTATCTTTAACAGCCCTTCCTTAAAAGGGCCTTTTTCTTTTATAAACCAGGCAGAACAGAGCTGGATGGAAACAGCGGGAAAAAGCTTCAGCTAAAGCAATTCCAGCGGCTGACCCTAGCCAAGATAGGAGCAACCGAAGCACCGTGAGGAGCCGACATCGGGAGCGCGTTCAGCACACGGAGGCGGTGCTGGGAGCGCAGGGAAGCTCTGAGGACACACGCAGTGACGGATCCCGGCTCGCTCCGCTCCTCCCGTCACACATCTCACCGAACGGCCGAGCTCGTAGCGCTGCCGGCAGAGCAGAGGTTCGGGCGCAGCGTCGTCCTTTCCGCGCCGTCGCACGGGGAGCCGCGGAGCGCGGGGACGGCGGTGCCGCCGGGCACAGGAGGGGCCGAGCCCGGAGCCACGCGCTGCCTGGCTTCTCCTTCGAGCTCGTCCTTTCGGCCGAGGAAGCGCCGTCCGCCCGCCGCAGGCCCCGCTCGTACCGGGGGGCGGAGAGGGGCGGGCGCAGCGCGGCTCCTCCCCGGGAGGGAAGATGGCGGCGGCGGGCGGGGGGGGCGCGGCGGTGTCGGTGTTGGCCCCCAGCGGGCGGCGGGTCACGGTGCGGGTGGGGCCCGGCACGGTGCTGCTCCAGGTGGGTCCGGGTTGGGGGCGGTGCGCGGCGGGCGGGCCGCGCTCGGAACCGGGTCCCGACATCTCCGTTCTCTCCGCAGATCCTCGAGGAGGTGTGCAGGAAGCAGGGCGGCAGTCCCGCCGAGTACGGCCTGAAGTGAGTCCCCGCGCGGGGTCGGCAGCGCCGCTTCGGCTCCCGGCCGGGTCGAGGCCCGCGCGCGGCTCCGGGCTCTGCGCTGTTCTCCGTGCCGCCCTCGGCCCCGACGGCTTCTCGCCGCCGCCCCGCTCGGCCCGGAAGGCCGCATGGAGCAGGCCGTAACCCGGAGCTGCTCGCTGAGCCGCGATCTGGTTTTACTCGTTGCCACGGCAGTGCGAGGTGCTGTGTGGGGATACACCAGGAAGCGGCCCGTAGTTAGCACTGGGGAGAGAGTGCAGCACATACAGCACAGCTCTGGTGATGCTCCAGAAAGTTGTTTTCTTCACGTTAATCTCAGTGTGTTTTCCAGCGTCAAAGTCCATTCACTTTTGAGGCAGATACTGAAATCCTTCCATAAAAACGTGCCCCTGCTTCTCCCCCTCATGTGCTTTCTCTAGTTCACTGCAGGACCCCTCTGTTGCCTGCTGTTCTGACTGCCTGCCTTTACAGTGAGAAAGCCAGCAGTTTGCCAATCTGACTGGCAGCAGCGTGCCTTGTTGTTTATCATTGGATCTGTGTGATTTGGTTGATGTTTCTCTGACATTTCTCTCATCAGAGCATTGGGGATTTTATTTGTGACTTCTACAAATCGTAGTTTTTGGTATGCTGCATCATCACACTGTATGGCTGACAGCCTGCCCAGAGGCTATGGAGGATGTTAGGTCACTAAAATGATGTGACAGTGGTCTGTGATGGTTCCTGATGTCTTCACCTGTTGTATTTTTCTTTAGGTTTCAGAGAAGTGTGTTGGATCTCACTTTACAGTGGAGATTTGCCAGACTGCCCAACAATGCCAAGCTGGAGATGGTGCCAGTCTCTTGTAATAGAGCGGGAATTGGAAACACGGTATGTTCATTACAAAGGGTGACCTGATTTGTTTTATTTTCAGTCCTGCTGGATGTGATCCTGTCAGATCTAATGAGCAGGAGCATGTTTAGGCTTGGGCAGAGCTCGAGTGAAGGGCCACCCAAAGAATAGTGGAGGTGTGATGGAAAGTAGTTTGGTAACTGGAAGTCTTCGCTTACGGTCCGTATGGTCATGGAGGGTAGGAAGGTTCTTTTGAAGAGCTGAAGAACCTAGCAGTCTTAAATATATATGACCTTAAAGATTGCCGATGGCTTTGCTCAAAAGCTGAGTTAGTTCTCTTTCCCAGTTTCTATTTCAGTTACTGTAGTTTGCCTCCGAGTTTCAACTAAAATCTCAGTTTTGAACAGGATTCACAGTGTATTCACACAGCTTTATCACTTTCTCTGACATGCTGTGTCTAGCAGTGGCCTTATTTATTATTACTGGCAGAGGGCTTATGGGTGCTTTGTTCTGTAGGAGTTATTGTCATCTTCAGGAGACAAATCTTTTTATGCTTGTCATTCTAACGGCTGGAGGCACAACTTAATGGATATGTGTTACTGAGCTTAAACATTTTATGTGGTAAAATCTTATTTAAGCAGTCTGGAAATGAAAGTTTGTCTGTTGCTTAAAGTCATCTCTTTTTTTTTTTTTCTTTTCTGATGTGCTTAATAAGGAGCTTCTCAGATTTTGTGTAAATCTTCAGGTCTGTTGATCTCTTAATGTCTACCTGCCAAATTGTGATAGTGGTATTTTGTTGTAGGTAATTACTTTGGCTGTCACATCAATAAACTCATGCATACATTGAAATTTGAACATTGTTTTATTAGAAGGTTTGGGCTCTCCACTCTGGTTTGCTGTGGGTGTGTTTTGTAGCTTTGGATATCACTAATGTTCACGTTTAGCTTCAAAACTTCCATATGCTTTGTTCTGGTGCTGACGTTTCCTTTTTGACTCTGTGATAAAGAATTGTCTGCTCAAAATGACATCATTTAAAAGACAGAGCAAAACCAAAATACAATCTGGGAGCACACGCTGCAATTTTCAGTTAAAGTTATGATGGCATGAAGTAATTCTTCCAAATGAAAGCAGTTCTGTCAGAATGGTACAGTGATGACTGCCTGAGCTTTGAATCTTGTTTGAGAGACGTTGTACTGAGGGGAAAAATGGTTTTATCTAAAGAAGATGGATGGAGCCCATCAGAGCCTACCAGAAAGGTTGAGAACTGTGTGCTGTGGGAGAAGGGTTATAAGGTGGGGTCGCAGACTTTGGTTGTTGTTAAAGCTAATTAAAATTGTTACTTAGTTGTATTTCAACAAAATAATCTACAGGATTAGGAGTTCTCATAGAGTGCTTGTTGGTGTTTGAAGGAGTTGAGAAGGCAGAGCAAGCATGCTTGCATGTGGTGCAGTCTGAACAGAGTTGCTGTCCCATAAACTAAGAGCAGACACTTCACTAGAAATAGTTTTGTGGGCAATATAAGAAAATACTTTGTAAAAATAAATACAGTTGTCCAAAAGAATTCCTTGCCACTGAGAAAGAGTGTCACGTTCTGTAGGAAATGTAAAACAACTGGGCACTTCTAGGGATTGAACTGATGCTGTACTAACGTGGTGGAGATGTGAACTTGATCACACAGCTTGGTTAAGGCAATGTTGGGGTGAATCTGATTCTGTGCCCTTGGTTATTGAGCAAATTCTCCCTGTGATGGCAGGTGATCTGGGGGCACACTCAGCACAGTTCTGCTGATAAAGTTATTGTTCTTTTGCTTATCTGCTTGTAAACTTAGAGATGATGGGGCCCTGGGCAGCCTGGTTTAGCATTAAACGTGGAGGTTGGTGGCCCTGCATGTGGCAGGGGGGTTGGAGATTCATGATCCTTGAGGTCCCTTCCAACCCTGGCCATTCTGTGATTCTGTGATACCAATGCCTGGTATAATAGTCTTCAACTATTTTACATGGAGACTGGGATTTTTTAAAAAGGCTTTCCCAATTGACTGACTGTGACTTTCTTGACATACTTAGCTTTGAACTGTTGCCCAAGAGACTGATGCAACTGGCAGCCTGAATTTCAGGGCCGGATTCTGGTAGAATGGTGATGTCTGTAGCTGAGGGTAACCTCAGGTTTGTCTTCAGCATGGAAGAAACCAGGAGGTCGTGTTAATGGTGGGCTGAAACCATTGCTTTCTGTTAGCTGGTTGTTGGTGATGCCACCGTGATTCCCATCTCCAGCAGATCAAAATCAGCAGTCCTGCCAGGCCTGGTGGGAGCTGCAGCAGGTGGTAAACACACTCTTCCAAAGAGATTGCAGTATATGGTGTAATTGTTTGGCTGCTAAGCCTTTTCCTTGAGGCTGTTCCTCAGCTTATTCATTTTGGAAGTGCCATTTATTGATTTTCCAGTAGAAGTTTTCTGTAGATTATAAAGGATGCTTCATGAGCTAATAAGTGTAGATGTTCACATTCCAGGTTGGAAAACACCTGTTCCTTTTTTTCTTCTAATGCCACGTGCAAGTATTTAAGAACTTGAAATTGTGCATTAAAATTTGGTGGTTAGGAAGCCTTTGTGAGTTGCAAGTTGCATGGATTGTCTTTTTAGACTTGGCAATAGTTGGTTTGGTCTCCAGTGACTTAAGAAAGACAATTTTGAACCATGCTTGTTGTTCCTGTGTGTAAATGTGCAAGTTATGTTATTTGTTAGGCTTTGGGAAGGCTTTTTGCATGCTGGTGCTTGAGTCAACAGAGCTTTGTGCTGTGTGGGTATCACAACTTGTGCAGCTGCATCAGTTCTGTCCGAGCCATTGGAATTCTTTTAATAGAGCTATGGAGCTTCTAGCTGTACAGTTTCAGCTGGTGTGAAACAGAGCATTTCAGTTCTTGTGGTGGCATGCATGTCATTTGGGACTCTTGCATCCTTTCTCTGTCAGTGTTTCAGTTCATGGGGATACATCGTTCCAATCAGAACCCCCTAACAAGCAGATCTGTTACCCCAGAGTTGATATTTTTCCACTGCCTTTCACTGCACTGTTAGAACAGTTATGAGCTGAGCAGTGCTGGGAAAGTGAGCATTGAGAGGAGCAGATCTTGGGCTGTGGTACAGAGGCTAAGGCTGAGTTTGCCTCTTGCACTGAACGTGTTCTCTGCAGAGCTCCCTTGTAACCGTGACCCCGTCAGCTGCTTTCAGTGCTGTTGAATGCTTCTGTCAAAGTCTCCTCTTTTGGCTTCCCTTCTCACTTTTTCCTGTTCAGCTCCCTCCAATTGCTTGTTCCAAAGATCCTCCGTATTCCATTTCACTTCTTTCAGGCTCTGGCTTGAGCTCCTTCTCTCTCCCCTCTGCCTGCACCTTCTGGCTCTAGCTGGCACACACGCTTCCTTCAGAGTCGTTTCTTTTGACTCTGAGTAGATATGCAGACGTGGTGGTGAGGATCGACTGCAGTGAACTCATAGCTGTGCAAACATTGCAATATTTGGAAAACAGTGTGACTTCTCTTTTTTCCATCCTCTGTTTCAAAAGGAGATTTTATTTTTAAAAAGGGCTCCATTTTTTTTTTTTTTCCTAATTTTCCCTGTCACCGTAGGGTTATTGGAAAGTCAGGAATATTCATTGTGTAAGAACATTTCATAACAAATAAATGTCCTCTAGAGTTCTTGACAATATTTAATGGAGAAGCAAAGTCTGGAGTCCAGAGAAGTCCTTGCAGAATGATACTGGCCGGGCTGGTGGATGTCTGGATGACAGAATCAGATCTGTTGTCCTGCTGTTTCTGTAGACAGAGGTAGTAACAATAGCTGGTGTCATGCTGTGCGTTCGTAAGAATGCACTACAGGTTGTGCAGCTGAGAGATTCATGTCAGATTATTTTAATGGTAATTTACTGGCAGCACTGTGTGCGCTGTGAGCTTGGACTCTGAAAGCAAAGCTGTTAATTGCATTCAGCAAATCTTTCCAAACTGAGGTCATGTGGTCATGTTAAATTTTCAGTGATGTGAGAAGATGCTGCGGTGCTAATGGATCACCCAGGGGAATCTATTTGCTGGAGAACTGAAACTATCGTATTTGTACCAGAATAATTTGTTACAGATACTAACTTTGAAGATATTTGAATCAACATTTGTATCTAATGCAGTCGCTAGCAGCAAGTGCTTAGAAGGAAGTTGCATTTTTTGGATAGCAATGATTCTAGAGATTGAAATGGCGAAGAAAGTTGCAAAGAAAAGGGTTTTCATTCAGTATTTATAATTCAGCATGTTTTTCTGTAGGTTCGGATTGCACTGCAGTTAGATGATGGCTCCCGTTTGCAAGATACCTTTCTCTGTCAGCAGACCTTGTGGGAACTTCTGAACCATTTTGCAAAGACCAGGTGAGCAATGCAGTGAAAAAAATGCGTGTTTGAATCGATGTCTGTGTGACAGTCTGTAGATGCAGTTACAGAGCTTTCTGCTTTAACACCAAGTAAGCAGCTGCTGGTTCTCTTCCCTTCGGTCCCCAGTGGGATGGAGGAAGAGAACTGGAAGGGAGGAGATTAGAAAGTTTATGATTTGAGATAAATGCAGTTTAATAAGTAAAAAACAAAACAAAATTAACACACTCTTGCTTCACCTGGTAGAAGGGGTTCTTAAGCAGGTTGCTGTTGCTTTTGGGACTTGTTGTCATGCAGATCTTCAAGGAAATCTGGAGCTCTCAGCAAGCAACATGGAACCTTCAGAAGACTGATTAAATCCTATCTAAATGGAAGAAAATCTGGTCTTACATTTATGAAATATATACATGGTTAGAAATCTTACTGTTTGAGTCCAGTTTTAATTGAGTGCTTTCTTTTGTCTTTAGTTTTGACTTAAAGATGCTGTATTGTTTCAAGATGTCAAGCTAATAAACTTTTCTCTACAGACAGTTCTTTTTTTGTGGCTTGGACGATGTGGCAACCATTCTATTCCAAACAGAATTTCCAAATCTAGGTTATTTTTTTCTATTGTAGTTGGATTTACCTTTCTCTTGATAATGTGGCACTTGAGAACCTGTATTTCTGTCTTGTTCTTTCTCTTGCATTGCCTGCCTTCTGCCAGTTGCTCTTGGCTTTTTCTAATGTAACTGGAGAACTTCTTGCTTCTGTTGCCTATTAATTTCTTGCTCCTCTGAACAGATGCTGTATTACAGTATTGTGCAAGCAGGAAGTTTTTTTGCTAATTTCTCAGAACGCTCAAACATTGATCAATCTGAGGAGGTGGTGGCCTTCTGTCTGCAGTGTTCTTATGTCTCTGAGGCTGCGGTGCTCAAAAAGCTGCAGAGTGAGTGGTCACTGGGAAAGGAAGGGGGATGAAGAAGTTGCTTTCAGTGAAGCTCAGCCTTTCAGCAGAGGCTTAGAGGATGCTAAGTGATGGATTGCTGTGCACACTGAGTTGTAGCAGTTGCCCAATGGCAAAATGGCACTGGTTGGCATTAGCCTAATGTGTACCTGCAGGAACAACTTTAGCTGAAGTTTAAAGTCACTTATTCTGAACTGCTCGTGAAATAACTGAAGAAACAGAGTTCTGGAGTTGAACTGGCCGACCTTACCTCAGTATGTCAGGTAGTACAGTTGGACTGTGTGGCTTGAGTTGCTCTGGAGCTGTTGCAGGGTAAAAGAAGTAATTCTTTGGACCTCCCAGTGATGTGCTGTTCATTTTCTGTCAGCTTAGCTCCTGCACTGCCCCACAGGAAGATCAAATGAGGACCTGGTGTTGGCCCGAGGGAGGGAGATGGGATCGTGGGGTCCATCAGAAACATCACCACAGTAGTTACTGCTTATTTCCTGCACTTCCATCTAACTCTCCCTAACTCTCCTCGTAGTATTTGTGCAGCTTTGTGGGGATATGTAGTGGATTCAGCTGAAAAACAGTGTTTTCCTTAGGTCAGTTTCCCAATCCAGTTAAGAGCTGTCTCACATTTGGTTACGACAAGAAGTGTAACATGTCAGAAATAAAGATCCAAAGGGGGAAACAGATGGGTAGGAATGGTTTATGTCAGGTTTTCTACTCAGCATTTTGTATCACCAAACAATAGTTTGAGGAAATGCTTGAGGTAGTCTAAAGTGGTACAAGTGAGTCTTATTCTTCTCACTAATGGTGAGATCTACTGTCTGGCATTTACTCTTAAGTCAAAAGGGACAGTCTGCATATAAATGGCCAGACAGAAAATAATTATTTTTATTTTCTGGTAGAGGAAAGAAACAGGCAAGAGAGCAGCAAAGACCAGGTGTTCTGGGTATTTGAAGGCTTCTCTTGAACCTTCCTACATCCTTGGTGCCTGTGGGAGGAGAGGAGTGCCTGTTGCAGTTCAGGAGCTGCCAGATTAGTGGAGCTTTTATTTGTTACAGGTTGTTGTAACACTAGTAGTTAATATGCATAGTGCTTTTTTTAAGGTTATAGCTGCCTCTCTATTCTAAGTGTACAGTATTCTAACTTCAGTTCGTGAGGCTCAGCTGTTCCCTTCTGCCCTGTGGAAGCTGGGCTCAGAGGCTGGGGTGGACTTTGTAGACTTGTGATTGAACTCAAAAAGCAGCAAAGATGGTGAGTGTGACGACAAGCTGGATCTGCAGCCATACACTCAGATTCTGTGGGCTGTGCTGTTTTCCAGTGCGCGCTGACGCAGTTGACTGGTTAGTAACCAGTCAACTAATTGGTGACTTCTGCTGAATCTTCCCTTCCAGTTTCCAAGTGGAGACGTTTTCCTGGAATGCTCAGCCGCTGTAAGTGCGTGAGGGGAAGTATTCTAAATCCACTGGAATTTCCCCCAGGTCTCCAGCATCCATCTTGGCTAATTGGGTCTGAAGAAGGTCTGGAAGCTATTGTCAGGCTGCTCCTCCTCTCAGCATGCGGCAGTCCTTGCACAAGATGTTTACAGGCCCTGTCAGATCACTACATGGAGGAATCTAATCTGCTTGCCGTTCCCCTTCTAAAGAGCAGCACATCAAAGAAATGACAATGTGTTTGATGTATGTGCTTGCCTCAGTGAATGAATGTAATGGATTAACAGCAGCTGGAGGAGGAGCCTGCTGGCTTACCAGAGTTATACGAAAATAAGTCTCCCTGGGATCTTTGCGTGGAGTCTGTTCTTCAGAGACTGTTTGAAGGACAAGTGGTGGATGCCCTTTTAGCATCAGGCCTGGGAGAGCTGTTGCTTTGCAGTCTCCCACTCTTGCCCCTGTGACAGCTTCAGTAGCTGTGTAGATTGTTTTACATGGAAGTGATTGCAGTCTGGATGCTTGAAGGCCATTCTGACAATGACTGTGACTCTGCTACCTTTGTGGTAGGGAATTCATTCAGTTCAGATATTTTTTCACACATTTTAGAAGGCTGTTCAATCAAAGGATTCCTTGGATTGAAGTGGAAAGAAATTTTGGAAAGGTGAATGGAAGTAGGTTGTGTAAGTCGAATTAGTTTCCTCTCTTCTTGGACTGTTTGGTGAACGTGTATTCCATTGCATCCTAGCTTCTAGCATCCTAAATAGTGATCATCAGCATTTTCTGACAGATGACCTCAGGTTTATGTTTTTATTCCCCTGAGCTGTTTTTATCTGCCATTTTCTGTGGCTCCAGAGAGAAACTGCAGCCTATAAAGTCTGCACTGTTTCCTCCATATCTCAGCAGCCCTTTTTTTATTTTTATGCATTTTGATGAGGGCTTTCTGTAGGGATACAGGTGATCTTGGTTGGAAGCAAAAATGTTAAAAGCAAACTGAAGATCACTGTCTGTTCTGGGTCGCCTGGAGAAGTCTGAGCATGCACAGCCTGTGAGGTTGTGCTGACAGTCTCTTATGTGCTATTTTGTTCCAAACTTCCAATCAGGAGACAAATTGTGGGGTTGGTTGCGTTGTTTTTTTGCCTTAAGTCATCAAGGTTTGCATTTCATACCAGAGTGTAAGCAGAGCCCACCCTTTATTGCAGACTTGCTTCCCCCCACCATGGGATTGGGAAGAGGCAAAGTGACAGCTGCAGAATGCCTCTTGAGACCAGCCTTACTCTGAGGTTTCTGACAGCTTGAGCGTGTCCTGGATGCTGATGCTTTGCTGCCATTGCTTCAAATACTCCAGCAGCTGCAGTATTTATAAACACAACTGCAAATAGGGTCTTCCTGGTATATGGGAAAATGCCTGCAGTAATGGAAGCAGCTTCCCTTCCAACACTGGTGGTGATTGCAGTGCCTCCAGTGTCTGAGTAACAGCAGAAAAAGGGTCACATAGGAATAGTCATATTGGAGCAGAAAGCTGTTTGTCTGCTGCAGATTGTTTCCTGCAGAGCATCGTGTATGGCTTTTTGTCTTTGGCTGAGTGTAAGTGATTGCAGAACTGCATGTGGTTGCAACCTATTTTAGGTTGTTTCGGTGTTGTTTCTTTTTTTTTCCTTTGAACGAGAAACTTAATTGTTTTTCATAAGCTGAAGCTGGGCTGTAATTAGGATGCTGTGGGCATGGCTGTCACCTACTTCTTGCATGATGGCATTTGGTACGTTGGCTGGGAGAAGTGTGTTTTCCCTTCCCTCCCCCCTCAAAAAAGAAGAGGTACCTCGGTACTGTCAACCCATTCAGATCTGTTGCAGTGGATCTGATAGCAGTTCTCAGCCCCTCACATCCCTGAACAGAACTCGTATCCCAGCGCTGGTTTTACGTGTTGCTGTCTATGGATTTGTTGGGTATAGCAAGTGGGGCTCATCAGTTCGGTAGCGACTCGCCTTATCCTGTATCACCATGCTGCTGCACGCTTTATTTGGAAAGGTTTAAACCTGTAGATCGAGGCTGGAGATAGGCAGCTACAATTAAAGCAAACAGGAATCTGAATTCTGGTCGGTACTTAACTGGTTTGCTCCCCCACATCCTCCATCTGGAACTCTTTGATGTGCTCTTGCTCTTGAGGATTACACAAGCATTGAGTACTGTCAGTTCTCAAATGGCACTCCCAATTCTCAGTGACTCCTCCTTGCAGCTACTCTGCTTGCATTTCTCTGAAGCTGTGTTTTGAGTCCTAAATGTGAGTGTCCATGGTGAATTTTCCCACAGTTTAATGCCCATTTCCCCCTTGTTCTTTTCTGCTCTGTAGACTGGCTGACTCCTCCCCTGTTCCATTTGCTTTGTCACTTTGTACCAGAGTAAATAAATTCATATTTGGCAAAACATTGATTACATGTGTATTCTTCTAAGCTGCTAAACTGTGATGTATTTTTGGACACAACAGAGAGACTACAAAGACATTGACAAAGTTATTGGTGTTCTGTTACTCCTGTTGAGCATTATGATGACACTTAAGGTTATTGGAATCACTGCACTGCAAACAGAATGTTGCATTTGGGTACACAGACTCATCTCCTACTGTGCACAGATAAGGTGCTCCTCAGTGAAGCTGAGAGATGCCTCCAAGCAGGACATGTGGGAACAGAAAGTCAAGAAGTAATGGTGTGAAATGATTCTCTACAGTGCAAGGGAGGAGTCTAACCAGTCAGCCAAAGTGATCACACAGTGTACAGCAGAATGGCAGCCTGCACCCTCCTAGCTGTATGCTGGGCCAAAGCAGTTCTGGTGCTGGAGGTTAGCACCTGCCATGATTCTTTCTTAGCTTGAATGCTGAGACTGTTGGAGCCAAACTTGGTTCCCACAGTTAAGCACTAAGACTTGCTAGCTGTCTGACCAAAATTCTGGTCAAGTGACTTATTCATGTTTACAATGGAAGCTTCTCCAGAAATGAAAGGTGCAGAAAGCGTGTGACAGTTATCGCAGTAGAATTTAAAGAGGCTTTTTTTTTTTTCTTTTTCCATTAATTAACTCTACACTGATACAGAATAATGATTTCTGATAGGATTCTGAGTAATATCCTGGATATATACCTTCACATTTTGTAGTGCAGGAGCACACATGATTCTGCATGCTGTGGGCACTACTGAGCACATGAATAATCTTGGATGAGTGAGAGCTGAGACTTGCTGTGATGGACAATGATTGTCTTTTTCTTTTCCATCTTCTATATTCATTTCCATCTTCTACATGGTCAAATGAATATGTAATAAAGATTCTACTTGGTTTTCTCAGAACTGCTTATTGTGAGAAAAATGGGAAAAGAAGCATCTTTTGAAGAGTAGCATGTTGGGGCTGTCATCTCAGCCTTGAGCTATTTTTTCCTCTCCTGTATGCTATGAATCATTCACTGAGGTCTTCTGCAGATGGCCTGTCATTGCCTTGCATCATTGCCTTGTTGGAATGCTTACCTGTGGGCTTATCTTCACCTTTTTTTTCCTACTACAGCAGCCTTTTCTTTGGCTTTGTTTTGTCCCCAGTCTCCATAATCTAAAAGCCTGTGCTGTTTTTAAATCTCTCTGACACTAGGACAGCTCTTTGTCCTTACCTCGTTAGGTTAGGTTGTGGTTGGACTTGATGGTCTTGAAGGTCATTTCCAGCCTGAGTAGTTCTATGATTCTATGATTGTGTTCATTTGTTTTAGAGAACTATTTCATTCTGTTTGTTGCTGTGCATACAAGGAAAGAAACTGACCATTCCTTAAAGAAAATGTAGTCTGTACCATCGCCAGCAATTGAACTTAAGGCAATACTTGGGTGTCTTCGACTCTTCTGTGTGGTGTTATGGATTGGTCAGTGAAGCACACCAAGAATGATGTTGAATTTGTCAAGTAGGATGGATTTATTTCAAGATTAGCTGGAATTATTTCCTTGTTTTTGAACTTTGATGGTTGTGTTTAAGGAGCAGTGAATATGTTGGAATGCATTCTTAGTGTCTAATACTGATTCTGTGAGCTGTGTAGTGGCCGTTGATGGAGTAACAGGGAGAGAAGAGAGTGTTTCTAGCTGATTTCACTATTTCTCTACCTTGGTTTTGGAAGGAATAGACTGCTCTACAGATGCTACAGTGTTTTGTTCTTTATTGCAGGGAGTTTCTGGAACAGCATGGTGAATTCTGCCCGGTCTGTATTTACATGCGAGATGAGGTAAGGCAGCAAAGCCCTCTTAACTGTCTTCTGCCTCTAAAATATAAGGAAAACTTAGCCCTGCTTTCCAACCTGGAAAGTGTTTCTTTTGAACTTTCTTGAGAGGGGAAGTAGAAAAATGTTGGTCTTTTCAAAGCCTGACAAGTCTGTATGGAAAAAAGTTCTCTTGGAACATAACCCTGGGCCGGTTAGACCTCTGAGCCCATAAAATGAGCTCAGTGACCTGTTTGTGTTTTTCTTTCCAACATCTTTTAAAGCTCGAGTCAAAACAGTGGTTTCATTTTAATAAATATTTGCTTTTCTCCCTGTTTTGATCTTTTGCTGTTAATGTTTTGTTTAAAATCTTGTATGTGTGTATTATGGAATTTGCTCTCCCTAGCAGTCGCCTTTACTTCCCACTGACCTCTGTGGACATATTGTCTTTATTCTAGAACAGGTCATTACAAGCAGATGGGAGGTGTGTGCAATGAAATCAGCCATCTCCTAGCTCAGAGATATTGCCTGGTTTAACTACTGACATAAAAATCATGCTTTGCTGTGGCTGGATCAGGTTTGATTGTATGCGTGGGACAGAAACATGCATCTTCTTTTCTATGAAGATAATTTAATAGTGAATTTGTTAAAGCAACGCAGGTGAATACAGATGGATTAGGGTTTCATTTCTAACTGTGCAGTGTTTTGAGTTGTTTCTGGTGCTATGTGGTGGTTGTTTTAATGCAGACTTCTTTCTAGAGCGACCTCTTTACATACTCTCAGGTAGGCAGTTGCTGTAATTTCTCCTCTGTTTGTTACAGATCTCAGGAAAAGATGCACTAGAGAAGACAACACTGAAGTCACTTGGTCTGACAGGAGGCAGTGCTATTGTCAGGTTGGGAGGAGCAAGTTTGAGCTCTTTGTTTTGTATTTTCACTCCAGTGAAATTGTTTTGTCCAAGTATCAGGGAAAGAAGCACGAAAAAATGTTAAAAAAGACAAACATCACTGTGCTCAGTAATTACTGTATTTGCCTGTTTATCTGAAACTGCTGCCCAGATGTGCTTCCCACAGCTGCAGATGCTGGCGCCGACCAGTTGTACGGATTAAAGGGGCTTGTTTGCCTCTTGGTTTTTTCTTTTTGTCTTTTTGTTGTATTTTTTTTTTTCTTTTCTATTCTCCCCCCCCCTAATTTTCTGCCTTTATTTATTTATTATTTTAAGCTTTCAAACTCTGCAGTGCCTCCTGCTGACTTCCTGGTTTGATAAGGTGGGAGTCAGTGATTGTGCAATCATCAAGCTAGTTCCTTCCATTCCTTACAGTGTGGATGGAAGGCAGAAATGATTAAAAACTGTGCTTTACATTGGACTACTGTTTGTTTTTTTTTTTCTTTAAGGTAATTTTATTTTCTTCCTGTGGAGAGAGTAGTTCCTGTTCTGTTTTTACCCCCTTCTGAATTTCAGAGCAGTCAGAATAAGCGGATTATTAAAATATAGTCTAGCCAACTCCATTGCATCTTGGTCATGTTGAGAATAGGAAGGACAGTACTGTCACTAAAAATGACTTTTTGGTGTGTGTGTGTGTGTCATCTTTTAAGGGTTGTCATGAAGAAATGCAGTTTGTCTGGTCAGGAGGAAGCAGCGGATGCCACAGCACAGTGTGATGAGCCAGTAGTAAGGCCCAGCTCTACTGAAGGAGCAGTGGATGTGCCCCTACCTCAGACACAGACATTCCCTGCGGTCTTGGATCACAGGGATGAGGCCTTGTCTATAAACAACTGCACGGACGAGCAAGACTCTGTTAGAGAATCTAATGCCAGCTTGGAGGAGCCGTGTCCTCCCTCAGAGTCCAAGTCTACCCCATTTGTCCCTTTTTTTGGAGGTGGGCAACGTCTGGGGGACTCTTCTGTGTCTGCACCACCTCTCGAGTTAGATATGCCATCTTCAGAGCTGCCAACGACTTTCTCTAGCCCTGGAGGCCCTTCTAAGCCAAAGAAGTCTAAGAACAGCCAAGAACTGCAGAAGGAACAAGAGCAGGTAAAATAATTTGTTTGCGGTCAGTCTTTGTATTTTCCCTTGCCCTTAGCTGTGCTCCTGAGAGGGGAAAGATGTTTTAATATTTGTGTTAGATGCCATGATGTCATACATAGAGTTCTGCCAAGAAAGTGCTGCGTTTTTACTATAGGACTTAGGAAAGCTGGATGTTTATGAGTTTACATGCTGTCCAGAAGTAAGAAAAGCTTTGAACCTTGAAATATTTTTAAAATGATTGGTTGTAATGGAGGCAAGGCAAGTGCATTAGGAACGCGGTCCAGAAGCACTTTTATTTCTGCCTTAAATTTAATAAAAAGCTAAATTTCTTTAACAAATGCCTGCTGTCACCTGAGCCCTGTTTGTCTGCTCTCTCCTGTGTAGTTTTACTACAGATGAACAGAATTTGGCAAGGCTTGTATTTTGTAATTCTCTGGAGATGCTTATTGCTGCATGTGGCTGACTTACCTTCTGCGTATCGGCCAGATACACACCTGGTACATCTTCCCATACTGAAAGGGATTCCCTTTCTACTCATTGTATGTCCATGTCCTAGGAGTGGAAGTAGTCTTAACAAGTATGTTGCAACCTGATTTCATGCCTATCATGTGCTTCTAAGGTCTGAGAAGACTGTGTTCTTCAGTCTTAAGCTGTAAGGCATGAAACACTGAACTCCATAGTGGTGTGATTGTAAAAGCAGTATCCCATGCTGGTGGTGGTTAATATCTGCTTCCTCAGGTCTTCTGTCTGTAGTCACTCTGGCTTGCAGTTTCTGCTGATGACGTGGTAAATTGTAAGGGCCACAGATACAGGAAAGGAAGTTTTCAGTTACAGTTGCATCAGTCTTGCTGAACTGTAAATATTTGAAAAATGAGGTCTGGACCTCTTCCATTCAGTCTTCCTTATAGAGGTGTATTCTGTCTTGCTTTAAAATATCCTGTTTCTTCAATAAACCCTGCCTCTCATTAACTCTTTTTCCACAAATACAAATTGTGCATCTATCTGTGTTCTTGGTGTCTCTGAATTAAAAATATGTGAGTTAAAAATAGAACTGCTGTAACCCATACAGCGATACCAACACTGATGACTGAAGAATGCTACGTCGTCATTACAGGATGATCTCTGAATAATGTCAAGTTTACTTTCTGTAGGGCAGCAATGCAGAATTGGGTGCCTTCAGAAAGGTTGGGTACGTCTGATAAGAAGCCTAGTATGAGAGGTGTCAGCAGTATTTCCATGTTAAGTTATGGAGTTGTTGGTTTTGAAGTGTGTTGGGAGTTTCATGTCCCTGCTTCTCTGTGACCGGCTCCTTCCTTTGTCCCTTCACTCCACACGTCATCAGGATGGCTGGATTTAATCTTCAGAGGTCTCCTTTGTTGTTTCCCAGCTTTTAGTACCTCTTAGAGTTGGAGTTCGGTGTTTATCTTTAGCTCTGAACCAGCCAAGGGATTAAACAATGGAAAGCCATATGTAGGAAGAAAAGACGCCTGATGCTGTTCCAAGGGAGCTCAATCCAGGAAGAATTTAACAAGGCTATGCGTATGCCCTCACACTGATGGAGAGATTCTACCTTGGTTGACTTCTTTGTGGTTGCAGTCCGTTCTTGATGAATTTCAGAGTTGTTTAGGAGAAGCCAGACCCTGGAAGGACCCTGGAGCAGTTACAAATGTAGCAGGAAGAAGCCTTGCCAACCCAGTGGTGAATGTTTTAGTATATTAGAAACATGTTTGGGTCTTTTTAATCAGTGTTATTTAACCTTTTGGAACGGGCTCTGAGCACGGAGGGCTAAACAGTAGGCCGTGCAATTTATCCAGTGTAATGCATTGCTTGCTTCAGTGACACTCTCACCTATGAGGGATTCGGAAAGGAGGAGTTTCAGTTGTATCTGAAAAGGAAGGAAAAGCACGAGGGTTTGCTGCTCTTCTCCATCTGCAGTCTGCGCTTCTCCGCATGCTGACTGGAGAGACAGAGCTAATTTTGTAATTTTACTGGCTACAGCTTAATGGGAAGCTGTGCTGATGGGCACAGAGCTGTGCTGCAGTGGCCTGGGGACTCTGGTGTGCAATCCAGAATCTTGTTCAGAAGTGCAGTCCAGTTCAATCCACTCGGAGGCACTTTGGGAACTGGCTTCCCCTCCAGTTTGAGAGCAGCCCTGGGAGCAGCTGCAGATTCTGTTGGGGGGGGCTCTGCCCTTGTGTTAAACAGCATGTGATTTTTGACTGCTGTTTTCAAGCCCTTTGATCTCTGGTGCTTTTGCAGCTGATTGATTACATTTTGTTCCTCCTCCATTCCTGCCATCCTCTGCTCTCAGCAGCAACAGCAGAGCGGAGCTAGCCACATGGCATCTGCTTTTTGTCCCTTTTCAATCCTGAGGGGGGGAAAAAAAAAACAAAACAAAACAAATTATTTTTAAACATCAAAGGTCCATTTTTGTAAAAGAATCTTCCCATTAATGCTTTGCCTGTGTGTGGTTTTTGGAGCCGAAGAGAGGCTGGATAAAATCTGTGCTGGCGTCCCTTCGTTTCTTAGGCTAAAGATGGTTTACAGACAGCTGCGTGCTGACTTTGATGTCAGAACATTAATTATTAGAAGGTAACTTTACACCAGATTCCCCTGGAGATTAGAGCTCCCTGAGGTGGTGGGGAGGAGATGGGTCTCCAAGGAGATCTTAGGGCTCTGGTAAGCACAACAGCCTCCACTATCCTTAAAGCTGGAGAAAGGTTTTCCTCAGCTCACCTTCTTAGGGCCAGAGCAGCGACCTTGGAGTGAATTGCTTCCTTTGCAGTTGATGGTATGGCATAGACTGCGGTTACATAGGTTGTGTAGCAGACACTGCTGTGAATTGATGACTTCAGCCCACTGTTGGGAAGCGTGTGATGTTGTGGCTTTGGTTGTAGAAGCAGAGATTTTGAAGAATTGCTATTTTGGGAAGGTGACAAACCATAACGCAGGTATCGCTGCAGAACGGTGGCAGCAAGTGTGTAATTCTTCTGAGTCAGATAATGGGAGGTAGAAGCTGCCTTACAGTCACCTTTCACTGCCTTCTGTCATGCAAAGAGTACCACACCTGGGCTGGGAAGTGATTTGGCTGACCTGGTGTGTTCTGTTTCCAAAATTGCCCTTGGATTCTGCCTGTTCCTTTGGCTGGTGGGTGATGCGTTGCAATAAGGCTTTATTGAAAGTACTCAGACTGTGAGGTGCCTGATGGGACTGGCTAAGTGAGTAAATGGTAATGGATAAGGAAACGGGGATAAGGTGGTTGGTTAGTGGGCTTTGGGCAAGGAGAGAATTGGTGGAGCAACAGCAGAACCCTTTTTCTCTGAAGAGTTTCTCATGCCTGTAAGGAGGCAACACGCCTGGTTGATTCCAGTGGGTGTGAAATGTGTAGCAGAAGAGATGTGATGATGTGGCAGCCTTTGCATCCTCGGGGGCAGAACAGTCATGTCTTCTGGCTGCTGAGCAGTGCCTTGTAGATACCTCATGCAGCTCTTTGATCGGAATCAGAGTGCCACGCAATTCTGAAATCAAATTGCAGAAGCTTTGAAAAACAAGTTCAGAACGCTTGGATCATTTTTCACTCATTACAGCTCACTCCATAACTCTCGTTGTTGGGACTGAGCTGAAATTGTCATGCTAGGAGGTTCTTACTGTAATGGTGTGTGCAGTCTTGCTAGATGTTCACATTTGCTCTTCTGTATAGAAAACTTTCTGTTTCTTCGTATTAAGTTGCAGCTAAGTACTGTGTCAGTTTGAAAGTCGTTGTCAGCAGCATTCAGGGTTGGCTAGGAAACAGGAGAAAATGATCTAGCTGTGTTTCAGCTCCCATCTGTCTGTGCTGGGCTGGTGCAGGTACGCTGCAGAGTTAAGTGGAGGCGTCTTGAATGGGGCATTTATCTATGGGAAGCAGTATGTTTTGTGTCCAGTCCTATAGGCTGGAGAATGGCTGCGGGGGGGACGTTCCACAAGTCTTTTCTCTGTATGCGTGTGTTCCGAGTGAAATGAGATGTGCCTGATGGGTGGGGAGGCTGGGCTAACCCTGATGCCAGCCTGGCCTTCCCAGCCCCTGCTTGCAGCGCTGAGTCCTGCTGTGCTGCTCAGCATCGCTCCCTGCAGCAGCCCCGCGTTCCTCCCTGCGCCCAAGGAAAGAAAGCTGCAATCAGGGTCTTTCACCCTCTAGTTACAGAGGGCTCTGCTCAGCTTTCTAAATGTAGCCAAGGTTCCCACCCATACAACCTCGCTCTTCTAATTTCTCAAATTACCCTTTAGTGCCCGCAAATAGAGTGGATGTTGCCTTGTAATTTGTTGTCTCTTTTGACAATTGAAGGAGACTCCTTCTGTTCCCAAGAGGCCCGAGCCTGGGGGAAGGGAGATGGAGGGCAGGCGTTCAGGCATTCATTTGGATTGGAAAGAATATATAAGGGAATATAGGGGGGAGAAATGGGAAACAGATTTGTTCGTAGAGCTTAGGGCTGTGTTAGGCCAGCTGTAAAGAAATGCTTTATTAACTATCAAAACTTTTGTTCTCGTGGGGCTCCTCAGTCATGGACTGCTTTCCCCTGCAAATCCTGCTGCCTGGAGTACAGTGCACTGCTTCAAGGCTTTGGGCATTTAAAGATGTCTAGGTCTTAAAAAGTCTGAATTGTTCAAGAGTAAATAGGCATATAACAGCCTTATGTGTATGTGACCCTTCTAGTGGTTATGTTCACAGTCAGTGCCAAGTACTTTTAAAAGTGCAAAGCAAAATGGGTTTAGTTGTCTAAGGGATTTAGTTGTCTGTGTTGGATGAGAGTTGGGTCACGGACCAGAACCCAGGTCAAAAAGTTGAAACATGTCTGATAAAACCCCACAGTGACTGAGTTGAGAGAATTCAACAGGTAAAAGGATGGCTCTTTAAAGTAAGGAAACATGGGTTGAGACCTGACTGGGAACTGGTGCTCTTGGCTCTATGGCAAGAGAGTGCAAAGCAAGGAGAATGGAAGGTATGACGACAGGCAGGAGTACACGGCTTATAAACAGCTTGAAAGGGCAGTTTGTAAGCTCTGGTGCTTAGAATAGCACCTGTACTCGTTGTGTGATGCCTGTGGGATGGTCAGGGAGTGGAGTACTTCCTTAGCATCATGAATTCTCAACTAGTGGTTGTAGATCAGTTTGCAAGCACTCAGGAACCTTACAGTGTGAGCAAAGCAGTGCGTTTAAGACTAATCCACACCTGTTTGTATTCTGTAGCTTGTAGAACGAGAGCCACTTCTGTGTCACCCAGACCTGCTGGATCCACTTCCTGCTGACCTGGAAGACCTTCCTGATGACTTTTTTGAAGTCACGGTGGACGATGTACGGAAACGTTTGGCACAGCTGCAGAGTGAGAGGCAAGTTCCCTTTGCACTGGTGACTGTGTTTGCTTCCTATCCTTCTGCTGAGTGCAGACACACTGTGCCCCTGCTGCTGGCTGTGGTTTCTGGGGTAAGGGTTGTAGGTAAGTTACTGGGTATGGAATTAATGATAAGCACTGGAAATCTCTACCCTTTGTGCAGTTTGATTTCAAAGGCTATGCCATGTTTCTGTTTAAAGAACCTTTGTGTGTGAACTAGTTAACTGTTTGTGTTTGGGTTAATTGTTTCACTTGAAAGCTTCACTTGAAAGTTTCATCATGAAGTCTGTGATGCCTGGGTGGTGATAACTTTATCTGAGAACCTGAGCTAGTCAGGGCCAGTCCCTCACCAAAAAAAGGAGTGAAAGAAAGGTTCCTTCCTGTCTTCTACACTTCAAAGAGTTAATCAAAGCTACTTAACACCCCATCTCTTTTTTTTTTTTTTTCTTTTTCCTTCTCCTTTGTTCTGAAAGATAAGCCACTGTCTTTTATATTAGATGTGCTATTATTTGCTGGAGGCTCAAAACAGTGGTGAACTCCTGCTTTCTGTTTTGATGTGACTTCATATTAACTACCAGGAATTAAATGGCTGGAATTAGTAACTTGTGATGGACAAACATATGAGCACAATACTACAGCTTCTTAGGAGTAACTCCCACTAAGTAAGCATCAAAAGCAGCATGACAAGCATGTCAAGAGAGGGGATTCTCTCTCAGCTCTGCTTTTGTGAGGTCCTACAGTGCAGTACTATGTTAAGCTTGAGGCCCTCAATGTAACAGAGACCTACTTCTGCTGGAGAAGGTCCAGGAGGATCTTGAGGATGATCAAGGACTGGAGCACTTTTCCTATGAACAAAGGCTAAGAGAGATGGGATTGTTCAGTCTAGAGAAGAAAAGGCTCTGGGGAGACCTTATAGCAGCCTTTCAGTACCTAAAGAGAACCTATAGGAAAGCTGGGAAGGGATTCAGTTGGGAGTGTAGTGATAGGACATGGGGGTGGCTTTAAACAGCAGATTTAGATTAGGCTTTGGGAAGAAGTTCTCCACTTTGACAGTCGTGAGGCACTGGAACAGGTTGCCCAGAGAAATTGTGGATGCTCTATCCCTGGAAGTGTTAAGGCTGGGTTGGATGGGGCTTTGAGCCCATGGTGGGGAGGTTGGAACTGGATGATCTTTAAGGTCCTTTCTAAACCAAGTGGTTCTGTGACTTCATTAGCAATTACTGGCTTTTTCAGCTAGAAAGAAAACCCTTATGTTCTACGAAGCAGTTCTGAACTAAAAAACTGACCTTAATGTAAGGCAGCCTCCCTGTCACAACAGCATTTGGCTGTCTGTATGTTCTCAACTAAGCTAACTTCATCAGTGTATTTATTTTTAAGAGCATCACAACATGCCTTTAAACTCTGCAAGCAATCCATGAAACTACGCTATAGCCAAGAGGAGTTGGAGCTGGTTTTTCTCCCCATAGACCTCTGAAATCCACATGAGTACACAGATGGGCTTGAAAATTGCTCTGCCACTTGTGGGTCTGGAGCAGTTAGTGGTACAAATGTGGGGTCATTTGGTTGGGGGTTACTGGAATTCAGCCCCCTCAAAAATTTCCTCATTTCCAAATTTGCTGATGCTTGTAATCCTTTTCCCTCCTCACAGCCAGGGATAAATATAAAGACAAGTTCCACATGAAAGTGATATCAGTTGGCTTCTGGTCTTAGCTGCTGAATCTTACTGAGGACTAGATGCATGCAGGGCAGTATTTTATGTGCAATTAGAATTTAGTTCTGATTTCATGAAGAGGCAAGAATTGATGTCAGAAATTGGTACACAAAGAAGAAACGGTGCAGATTAATTTCATGATTGCTTTTCAAACCGTGAGTAATACTTTCAGAGCATTTCAGAATGTGGTGTTCCAGCAGACAGTTCTGAGTACAGCAGGTGAAGTAAGCCTGTAGTGGTTTTGTTTAGCAGCTGTTGTTCCTGAGGTACCTTGGTGATTCTCAAAAATACAGAGGTCCTTCAGACTGGATAGGCATAGGAGATAACTTAGAAATAGTTGTGCATTATTGTAATTATATGATCAAATGTTTCACCAAAATGTATTCTGGTAAATAGGATATCCAGAAACAAAGAAAAGGTCTGAAGCTGAACATAGAATTGAAAGGGATCTGTTGGATCTAAGCTTATGTCTTTACTTACAGAAAAAAAAATGTGTATGTTTTTGTGAATGCACTGTTTCATCTCAAATAGTGCTGTGAGAGATGTGTGGAACAATTGAGCAGTTCTCATCAGCTTTGCTTGGACCTTATGCTTTCTTAATAAAATTGAAGTGTATCTCAAATGTACAGAACTGACAGTTTGTTGTCTTCCCATGTATTTAGGAAACGCCTGGAAGAAGCTCCACTGCTGACCAAATCTTTAAGGGAGGCTCAGCTGAAAGAAAAGCTAGAACGTTACCCAAAGGTAGCCTTTGTTCTTTTCCCAGTCCTTCTGGCTAGCCCATACGTGGGGGTTAGTAGCTTTGTGAACCAGATGAGAACAAGACCTTCAGCTGCTTACAGGAGGATGTTGTAAATTCTTTCCTTGTTAATTGTTTGTGGCACTTGCATAATAGCTGCACCAATTAAAATCATCTCTCATGGAATGACGTGGTTGAGTGCCGTGCAGTATAACTCCTTTTGCTTTGTTCCAGATGATGCTTCAAAACCCCCTCCTTACACGCACACATCATTCTACCTGATTGAACTTTTCTATCCACCCCTCTTCTGTAAACTCTTAAGTTTCATTAGTATCTCATTATGGGTTAAATGTTAGGGACTGGAGATACCTCACTTTGTAAATATGATCTTGTTGCAGCTTCTGTCCTTGATGATTTGTTGCAAAGAAATAAGAGATTACATTCTTAGGTTAGGTGCTGTCTGACCAACACTGGAAATAGAATGGTGCAAGTTATTTTAGTTATGCTGCCCAGGAGCTGTGTGAGTGGCAGATTTCCTGCTACCACAGGTGCTTCAAGGTACTGATTCACTGTCTGAACCTGTCCATATTTAGGAGATAGCAATGTCTTGTGAGCATCACTTAGTGCAGGGAGCTAACCAACAATGCTGCTGCACTGTAAGAGATAGCATTTGTAAAGATCAGAGTTCTCTTAGGGCCTTGGGAAGCCAGGCAGCCTCTGTGTGTCCTTTCAGGAGCTGCACAGTAATTATCAACCTGTATGTTTTTGTGTGCCTGTAGAGTAAGATTCAGATCTCCCTGTGTAAAAAGAAACATGCAGCTTTGAAGCCAAGGACAGGCCTTCCCAAATGGCCGTGCACAGCTGACCTGATGTGCTTTGCCTCTGACTAGGTGGTGTTGAGAGTCCATTTCCCTGACCGCCATATCCTGCAGGGGTTCTTCCGACCTACTGAAACTGGTAAGAGCAGCCTCTGCTTCAGGTGTGCCTGCAGCTCACCTCTCTCAGCATTAGCTGCATGCCAAAAGAGGGGTGGTTCTAGGATGATCTTGCTGCTGTCCAGGGGGAGTAATGCAGATGGGGGGTGGGGGAGGGGAGAACAAGCTTTACCTACTATAATAAGGATAACAGGAGCTAGACATTTCTGTCTCTGTCAGTTCACAAAAGATGGAAAGTCGGACTGTGTGCAGAGCAACCCTTGCTATTATTAATTTAGATCTTATTTTGAGCAGGCAGCAATGCTATTTTTGATACTTTCATATGGTAGGGAAAACTAATAATTAGTTACCAGTGTCTCACCTACCTGCTGTCTGCAAATCTTGGAGCTGCTATTGGTTTTCCGTGGAAGAACTTGACTTGACAGCATCTCTTGATTTTTGCCAGGGAACCATCACATCTAAGCATTTTCTCCAAGAGGTCTGCAATAGTAACAAGTGTGGTAGTGTTCTTTTGGGCAAAAGGCAGTCTGCAGACATTACAGAGGGTAGTTCTGGAGGTACCTGTTAGCCCTTCTGCCTGGTGTCAGGGGAAACAAATGTAATGCAGCAAGCTTCTCTCTCTTCCTTTTTTCACAGTTGGCATTGTGAGAGATTTTGTAAGAAGCCACCTTGCAGATCCAGATTTACCATTTTACTTGTGTGAGTGTGCTGTTGCTAATATTTGACCTTAAAGCCTGTTCCTAATCATGATGCATATGAGATCTTGTGATGCCATGACACACAATCTGGGGAGGGATGTATATATTTTTTTCCCCTAAATACGGCAGCAGAATGCAAAGGAGGTATTATCAGCTCTTAGCCATGTTATGATTCTACCTAATCAGGAGCCTGTGTGGGCTGTGTAGAAGTGTCACTCTTTTTTTTTATTTTTTTGAAGAAGAAAAAGCAGTAATCCCTCCCATACCTGCTGTATTTATTGTTTTGGTTGCTGGGTGGCCCTGTTTTGTAACTTGTTTTTTAACTTCAGTTATTGCACCTCCCAGAGTCATCTTGAACGATGAAAGTTTGAAGCTCTCTGAGGTAAGGACTCACGTGTGTGCTCTCTCTGACTTGCTGCTCCCCCTTGCCACCATATGCTTTAGTTACTTGCAAAAGAAGCTGTGTGCTGCTGTGATCCCTCTAGACCTTCCTAGCCACAACTAATGGGACCAGGTGCTTCAGAGCACAAGCTGCTCACCAGAAGAGGTCCACCTTGTGCAGCAGTATGTTCTTTTTTTGTGGCAGGGGTAGGGGCTTTAAATTGTTGTATACACACAATTAGTGCCTTGTGAAGTCTGTACTGTGTTTAACCTTAAAAAAAGGCAAGAGCGGTTTGTTATATTTGTAGCTGGCTTAGTATAGTAGAGATGACACTGGATTTGGATAGGTGGCTGTTTTCAGTTTTTATGGCAAGAAGTAGAGGCTGTGTTAGTCACAAATCTGACCATTTTGAAGCTGCTGTATGAGTGTTTAATTTTTCAAATCCAGACTTGTGGATTTTTTTCACAAATGTCAGATCAAGGGGTCTTGAAATTTCTGGTCAGACACATGGCTACATAAATCACACGTGCTAAGGAAAGTCTGATAAAGAGATTTTACCAGTCATTTTACCCCACATTCGAGATGTTTAAAATGTGGGGTCATTCAGAGCTTCATGGCCTTTTGCACTGGTGGACTGAAGATCACTTGCAGAGGAAAAAGTCGAGCAGACTGCAGTGAAGGTTTTAGCTTGATGCCTCAGAGCAGAACAGTGCAATGGCAGGAGAGAAAAAGGGACCTTTCAGGCAGTGTGGCGAGTTAGGTAGGCATTAGCATGTCTCTGAAGTTGTTTGTGATGGAGCTTTCCAAATTCCACAACTTCATGACCAGCCCATGTGGATATGATACAAGTGCAGCTGCTCGTAGGCTACTGAACATTGAGAGGGGCAAAGCGTGTATCCCTGTGCTCACAGGGAGAAATCTCTTTTTCCTTGTAAGCTGATAAAGATTCAATGCTGAAATTTGTGGTTTTGGGAGTGTCAGCATTCTTTGTATTGTCACAGTAGTTACGACAGGTATAGATTCCTAGAGAGTTCTGAGCTTCTTGGGGATCACAGCCCCATTTGGTTCCACGGTTCAGGAAGTGCTGTGCAGAAGCTCTTGGCCTCTGCCCAGCTGCACAGCCTGAGGACTACCTGCTTCTATCAGACTTCCCACACTCTACTTAAGCATGTCATCTCTTTGAATGTGTTGTGCAGGAGACTGTGCTTCTCCTGCCAGACAGGAATGTGAACACGTATGTCTTGGTAAGAAGTAATACCATGGTGCGTGGGGTGACAAATGGTTTTCTTTTCAAAGCCCTTTTTGTGTGATTTAATCAGTAACAAAAATACCAGTGGAAAACACTTTGTTTCTTTGAAACAGGAGACTTTCCAACTCAGGCAGTTTCTCCCAGCTTCCTCTGACTTGTGCCATCTCATCCACATCTGCCATCCAAAACATTGTCTCAAGTCCCACATGGTAACCATGATGGGAAATGCAAAAGACAAGTTTTGTCTTCAGATTTCTGAGAAACTCCAGGAAAAGGAAACCGGTTGTAGTTGCATTGCTAATAATACATTTGGAAAACATTCGGAGGAGCAGCAGATAATAAAAAATGTTATCCACTTGTTAGCTGTTCTGAGGCAAGGGAAGCAGCCTTGGAAACGTGGCTTGTGCAGGCGTGTTTGAAATGGCACATGCACGCTGCTCTCTGCCCCCACACCTTCTCCTGTGGTTGTCTTAAGCTGTCATGTCTGGACACATCCCTCACCTTGAGTTCCTTTACACACGTTTTCTAACATGCTTATTGGAAAGCTTTTTTTTTTTCTCCCCATGATTCCAAAGTCTCTCTGCAGCTCTCGACAGCAGATGTCTCCTGCATAAAATGAGCGTTGGTCTTTTTCTGAGATTTGGCTGGGATGCCTTCCAAGCTTTCCTGTCTCAGCCTCCAGCTTCTCTTGTGTTCCTACAAAATATACTGCTGCTTTTCAGTGTCTCTGCAGTGATTTCTTTTCCATATGCCACATTTTCCTCTAGAATCCAATGGGCTTTGAGTTTTGATACTATTTATTTTTTCTTTAAGATGATTTTTTTTAAGTACCTCCAAGATGCCGAAGAGTCAAAATCTGCCTCTGTAATTTACATTTTCCCTCTTCTTGCTTCTTATCTCTTGGATATTTTGCTCCTCCTGAAGTTCTAGGTACTTCAATTTCTGATGCTGCTTTCTGTTTTGTCAGTGTTGGAAAGCACCCTGTCTGCTTGTGTACCTGTCCTTATCACCTTGAAAATGCCTTCCAAGGATTTTCTGGGTACCTGTGGTTATCACTGAGACTTTCAGAGGCAGAGGCTGCTTGAGCCTCAACACGAACCATTCTGGACATCAACTGCTGCCAGCCTGGATGTTTTAGGAACATACTGTAGTGGGTGGAGCTCCTTTCTGTGTGATATGGCTAGGAATTGGTTGGTTGGGGATGCTCGTCCAATGTCAGGCATGGATCACAGACCTGCACCTGGGTTTCCCAGGATTTATGTTAGCAGTCTGTTATCTTCCAGTGTTCAGGCTGCTGTGTTGCTGTCTGTAAGAAAAAGTAGATGGTGTCTGGGGTAGTAATGTGGGTACATTTGAGTGATGTGAGTGTAATTTGTGTTGAAGCCAGTCACAGGAGTCTCTGCAGATGGTGTAGTGTGCTATTTTCAGTATTTTTCTTCTCTACACTCTCTGCCTGCATTCAAGCTGATAAGATTGGAACCACATTTATTAAATCTGATAGCTTACAACGAAGGGAGAACATTTATGATATAAGCAAAACCAGGGAAAATGACAAATTTTGTCAACTTGTTTGCTAAAATATTTGGGCTGAAAGAAATGCCTGAAATGAATTCTCCTGAAATGTGTGTACTTACACTGTAGTGAGAGCATGGATAGGCAGCAAGGTTTTCTGGAACCAGTGAAGACTTCAAGACATTGCTTTGATTTTTCTATTTTATTTTTGTTATTGTTGTTTTTGCTGGCTGCCTTATCCTCACGTCCCTTGAAGTGTTTTATAATGTTCTGCTCTCCAGAACTGAACAACCGCAGGCTTCCCTGTTGTAGCACTTGGCCTTGAGTTTCTTACAGCACTGGTTGCCTGTTTGTGCTTCCCTAGGCTAGCCAAGCTTCTCAGAGTTGCTCTTCCCTTTCTTGTTCCTCCCAGAACCAGGCACTTGAGTAGCTTGTATCTGGAGGGCATTAGTAGAAAAAGTAATTAAGAGCTGAGTTAAGACCAGGAAAGAGTTAGCAGAAGGTAAGAATACCAGCCACTGGGAAGGTCAAAGGCAGCAAAGGGCAGGAGGCCATATTCCCTCTTGAGGAGCTGAAGGAATCCACACTCTTCCATGTAAATATTTAGTTTTTTTAATCAGATCTTAGAGTGCACCAAGTGTTTCCTCTGGCACGTACTGTGGGGCAGGAGTGCAGAGGAGCTGTTTGTTCGTTTCTTTGCCTTTGGTTCTGTTTCCATATCCTACTCATTAATGCCATTTTGGGCAACGCGTCTGGCATTCTGTTCACTGAAGCTGACTGACTTGGGCAGTGTGAGGCCTTCTGACTTTTGGCAAGAGTCTGAATGCAATTGCAGAAGAAACTTCTTCATGAGAGTCTTTCCACCAGAGGTACTTCCAGTGGCTGTTCTTGGTGTTACTCCACTCACTAATAAGGAAAATCAGAATTAATAGTGAAATTCACCCAGAGGATGGCATTCACCTTCCTGCATGAAGCCTCAGCCCTTTATTACCACTCAGGATTTTCTCATCTAAGTAGGCTTTGGTCGGAATCTTACTTCCTATTTGTCATACTAGACCTGGTAACTCGTCATGGCTGTGCACACTTGCTTCTCGTGCTGGTTTGGATTAGGGCAAGGCAGTGCAGTAAGGATGAGGCCTTTCTTGCACGGTTCAAGTTCAGAGTGGAAATTCTGCCAAAAATATTCCCTCTTCTACTATTAATTTCGGAGGCCAAATCTTTCTGATCTCAGCTCAAGGGCTCAATGAATACTCTTTATACCTGGATTCCTTCTTAAGTAGCCTTCTCAAAATAGTGCTTTCAAGTCTTATCTATGCCTTATGAATTTTAAAGGGCCCCTGTTCAAGCTGGATCAGATTTCCCCCGTATTGGCTGCAGAATATCCATCTTCTTTTGCAGTTGCAGTCCACATTGAGAAGCTTTGTTCTCAGGTTATAAACAAGAACCACTTAGTCACTTTGCCCCTTTCACCATGGCTGTGGTGTTTATTTCTGTTTCAGCAATGCTTTGCAGTCTTGCTTGAGGAAGCTTTTGATCCACCGGCTTTCCGGTTGAATTTTCCAAGGGCAAGTTTATGTGTTTGGGGTGTGTGTACTGTGCAGTATTTCATGTTGGTAGCTTGGGTTTCTCCTTCCATGCGCGTGTTCCTTTGAAGTGCTTATTTTCTTATTCATCTTTTAACATCAAACTAACTGCAGACCTGTGGCACTCTAATCTTTTCAGATCATGTAACGGAAAGAATGCTTCTCTTTCTGGCAGCTGCGAGCTCCCCTTAGACAACAGTCCCTGCCTGATTTGAAAGCATCATTCTTTCTGTGAGCAGAATAACTGCACGGTAATAATGGACATCGTTTGCGGTACTCAGTTGTAGGACTTGTGGAATGCGTGCATCTGGAAGTGCCCACTGAGGGAAGAAGTGTTGAGATGGTATTGAGGGAGGGTACTGTCTGAAATCGTTTTTGTGCTCTAGAGAACAAATGACTAAAACATGCAATAAAAAAAAAATCAGAAATATTTCTCCTGTGCGTCACAGTTGGATTCGCAGTGGAATTTTGTTCTAGGATGGATATTTTTATCATGACCCAATATACCACTCCACAACCAGGATGCCCTGCTGTCATAAACCATGCTCACCACTGTGGTATCTGAGTAACTTGGGTTGTCTGAAATAGAATTTTGGGTTACTGTCGCTACAGAGTTTGAATGTGGCTGTGTGAGCAACAGGCTGGTCTTCAGACAGCAGAAACAGAAAGCGTGAGTCTCAGCTTGTACCAAAGCAAAGTGATGAAGCTGTGTTACTGGAGAATGTTTGAAACCTAAGGAATTGTTTGTTAGGAGTGACCCTCCTTAAGTACACAGGGTGATAAGCAGGACAGTGGTTCTTCTGCTTCTTGCCTCATTGGTGACTGACTACAACCCCGGTTGGTACTCTGGAAATATATATTTATTCCTGCCACTGCCATTTTGTGTGGCCTTGAATAAGTTACTTATTCTCATTAGATGTCAGTTTTTCATTGGTACAAAAAATTGTAGTTTCTTAGATTTTTAATTTGCACTGTGTGTTGCCTTTCATTATGCACACATATATAGTGCACATTAGGACACCATTTCCAATCAGATTTCTGGATACTCTTGCAGTAATAATAATAATCCAACTACATCTTGCAAATCTACCTCGAACAGTGTGATTTGAACATTAAAATTCCATCGTGTAATAGTTTTAATTTTCCTTGTAAGAGTAACATTGTACCTTTGGCTGGAAATGAAGGCAGCCAGGAAGAGAAATGCTGGATATTGCAGCATGGTAACTACCTGTTGACTTCTGTTGTAGTAATTCTTCACGTATAACTGAGTGGAGTTTTTTGAATGTTTGTTTTAAGCAACCTGTGATTTGTTTGATTGGTCTGCTGCACCCAGTGTACCCGTAAGAAGTTTCTAAATCTCTCTTGGCTCAAAGATATTCTTAAAAGAATCCTGTGCAATGAATTTAAGACTGCAAGATTCATCTTCTAGGGCCACAGAAGCATGTAAGTGAAGAAATTACTGACCTAAGAGTATGCATTTTGAATAACATTCTGCCCAATGTGACTTCAGCTTCCAAAGCAGTGTTGGGGAATACGAAAGGCTCCAGCTTCCTGGTTGTGTATTTTCCTGTCCTGAGGATACTAACTCCTTCTCACCTTTATGCCAAGGCATTCCTTGACGGGTGAGGTTATTCCACTCTGTGTGCATATTTCTACGTATATCTTTCTATGTAGTGTTGCAGAAAGCTCTGAGGCAGTGTGTCCTGCTGGTGACTGGCTGGAGAGCTGGTGGGGTAGCAGTGAGATGCAGCTGGCTGTTTCCTGCACTGCACCCAAAGCGAGCCCTGAAACAGGGGGTGACACCTGAGAATTCTGAAATGAGAAAGCTGGATAAGGGGTGGTGTGAATGAACTGTTATTGTGGAGAAAGGTCTGAATGCAAAACCTTATCGGGTATGAATTTGGTAACAGATCCCTGTTGGCTGAGCACTGGGAAGGGGCAGTGATGGGGGGAATTGCTCCGCCGTAGGTAGGAGGTTGTGTTGTGTATGCCTGTGACCTGCTGTCCAGTGCCTTTCAGTTAGAAGATTTTGGATGGATATTTTGCCAGCAGCGGGAAATGGCTGTGGTGGTGGAGCCTGAAATTCAGAACTTAGATTGTTTGTCAACTTGTGAGTAAATAGGGTAGAGGTTTATATTGGGGCACGTTCTGTTTGTGTGTTTCTGCTGCTCAGTATGTCTGTCTAGCTCTCAGTCTGTGCTTCTCTCTCTCTCTCTTTGTGCCTCACTTTGGCCCTGCCATGAATTTTCTCTGACCCCTTGGGGCCATTCCTGCATGGAGCTTTGATGTGTGTGCCCAGAGCTTGATTGACAAGCAAGTTTTGGTGGTGGCAGTGGGGAGAGAGGAGGGCAGGGCTTTGAACTAAAAGGCTTTGAGTTTTGAGATGTTGTGCTTACTTATCTCCTTCAGAATGTTAATTATTTACCAAGATAATTGGGCAGGAGGGGAAAAACAGAGAGGGGAGGTTATTAAAAAATTCCAACACTAACACGCTACAAAAACCTCATTTTCCAACTTGCAGCTGGCATGAAAAGGATGTTGTGTGCAAAAGGGCTTGAGTGTATGTGTGTTTGGGGAGGGGGTGCTGGGGGGGCTCCCTTTTAAGCCACCCATTTCCTAAATAGAGGGATCCCTTCAGACGAACGCAGCGGAAACATCAAAGCTCTTGGAAGAATTTTCTCTGGGGTTTCTAAACCGTGGCTGGTACTTTTTAATTAAAAAGTTTATGGAGAGCTGTCTTTGTGACTGGAGCAGGCAATCTTAGGCACTGTTGATTGAGGACTAACGTGTTAAAAAGACCTGGTAAATAATGATTTCTGCTAAAATGACACTTGGAGGATGTGAAGATCCCTGGTCGCCAGGCAGGAGCTGAGGTTTGGAGTAGACAAATGAATGTCTCCTCTGCTTTACTCTAACGTGCAGGCTGTGTTACTTAGGAAATACTACAGCACCTTCTGGATTAATGTCCAAAAGCTTGCAATGCCACGTACTTGTTGGCATTTGTACCAGGAAGATAGTTGAAGCTGATTCATCTCATCTCCATTCATCCATCTTGATTTATCTACATCTATACTAGGTGGGAATCCAGAGGCTCCCCTGTAGAGATCTGGTTGGTTTTGGTTTGTGGTTTGGTTTTTTTTTTAATTGAGATACTATAACTGCTTTGCTGGATGGAGCATCAGTTCCAGTATCCTGATGGTGGCAACAGAGGCTCAAGAAAACTCAAGAGCAGGCAGCCTGCCCTGTGCAGTTCCTGGATGTGCCTTGGTAGTAGAAACAGGGGCAATTGATGCTGACAAGACTTAGTGGTTTGTTTTGTTCAAGAAGAGAAATGGAGTGGTGTTATTTTGCCAGTGTAAGTGTAGACCATTAGTCAACATTTTCTGTCTCACTGACAGAAGGGAAAAGTCCGAGTGTGGTTTTATTGCACTTATGTGCTGGCAAAAGAGGAGTGCTTGCTGATCATATGCTCTTTAATGTGTGTTCCTTGTGTACGTGAAGGGGTAGGCAGAGATTCCAGGTGATGAGTGCACACCTTTCTGGGGCCATCATGGCTGGGACAGGCAGTGCTTCCCATCTTTCCTGTGATGTGGTCAGCTGTGACATACTGCATCGTTTTGTATGGAGGTGAGACTGCTGGGATCAGACTCAACGGATTTCATTTGATTCATTCCTTCATGAACTATATGTATATGCATTGTTTTAAGGTGTGACACTGTAATTAAAATGCATATTAAGTTAATTATGCTTTGGCTGACAAACATCTCAAATTTTAACACTCACTGAGGAATTGTTGAAAAGCAGGGGTTGCAGTGGTGTTCTGGGTTCAGTTCTGGGCATGCTCTGCTCATTATCATCTCTTTTAGAGGTAAATACATAAATACAAAATAATAATATTTGCAGATAAAATAAAGTTCATCAGGGTGATAAATGCAGATGTGAAGAAGGCAGTCCTGCAGTTACTATAATGAGCTAAATGAATGAAAAAACAGTTTGAATACAGCACTTATCCAAACAAGTAGGAACTAGCAGTTCAAACTGGATTGAAAACAAGTAGGTTGTTGGCACAGTGTGTTGCTGCACATCTGTGTGTAGGAGAACAGCTTGTGAGTTTTGCTTCATATTTACTGTGAGTGCCCTGTGCTGTATGCAAGTTGAGACTTCTCTGAGTTATAGATGCTTCAATGACCTGATCTTAAACTCTCTGAATGTGTCCATAGCTGTCTGTCTCTAACGTTCACAGTAGATTGTGGAAGCATCTACAATCAGTAACCTCTTCTTTTTCCCCTTTGCTGCAGGCTAAACTCTTTCCAGCTGCTGTCATTCATTTTGGATCTGAGGAGCGCAGGGGTGAGTGAGCTTCCTCTCTTCTTCACCTGGTTGTATAGCACCTGTAGAATACTGAAAAGAATTGTATCAGTATGTTAGGATTTCTTCCAGCAAAAGATAATGCAGTCCTTGCCAATGCTGGTAACTGTTCCCCTTCAGACTGGTTAAAGCTCATCAGAGCTGGGTTGTTCTCGCTAAAAGTGGATTTTACTGCAGTTAGCTTAAGCACAAATATAAATACAGTACATTTCTTGTGAGATTTGTTAGGCTGTAGAGCAGGCATTGTCTACTATGAGGACAAAAATGAAAGAAGAATAATCCTATAGAAGGAAATTTCACTATAGAAAATGTTAGCTGGACAGATGTGAAATGCTCATATAGGCCTCCTGCTGAGTGGACTAGCTGGAGGTGGGAGAACAGATTGGAATCCTCAGTTGCCTGATATCTCTGGTTTGTACTTAGAATTTCTCTTTGTCCCAGAGATTGAATAACACTCTTGTTTTGCATAATAGCTCCTCAGATGGAGTGAGCACTGAAAGAAAATGTCAGAATCTCAAGGTTTTGAATGAATGACAAAGTAAGATGCCTCGAGTTGTGTAAGAAGCAGTCACAGTTTGAAAGTGTCCTGTTTGACAGCTGGTGGAAAACTTGCTGTGGTGTACAGCAGGTTCTTGTTGAGCACTGAGCTACGTGAGTCTGTGATTGATGTCTTTATGTTACCAAACAAGTGTTGGGATTTCATCAAGTTTCATTTTAAACAGATTGTTACCTGAAATCGGACCTGCTGAGCTCTGCAGTTTCCCCTTCTGCAGCTGATTTATTGATGGCCAGGTATGTTGGAACTGAGTAGAGTTGCAATTGAGTATTTCAGGGAGGGGGGTGGGGGCCTGAAGTGCCTTTCTAAAAAGAAATGTGATCTGAAGATGCTAGGACTTCAGTTTCTCCTTCGTACAGTCATATCTGAATTTGTAGCTTGATGAGTCCTTTGTAAAGCAGGATTTCAGTGACTACATCAAGTAAATCTTAAGGTCTTTATCATGGAGAAGAAGAGCCTTGTCAGTCTGACTTAGAAAGCTTAAATGTGGTGATACATGGGGCTAGTATGAAAAAAGGAGGTTGTAATTCTACTTGCTTATTTTCTTCCTTAGATGTTTGTCCAAACCATTAGCTCCTTCTGCCTCGTCATCCTCAGAATCAATAGTTCCACCCCTACCTGAACCAGAAGTGGGCAGTGACAGAAAGACTGAACGACCAGAACCAGCAAGAGTGCATGAAGCTCCACAGGTGCTGAGAAGGGCCCCTGGGAAAATACCCAAGTGGCTGAAGCTACCAGGTATCACAAAATCTGGGGAGAGATCTCCTGCTGAAACAGTTTCAGTGTTGACTCTGCTCTTGAAGATGTCAGCAGAAGGCTGGCAGGACATGATATCAGTGCTTGTCAGTCACAAATCATTTTGTGCCTTAAACCTCAGCCTTCACTGGAGAGGTGCCTGAATGTTGGTTCTATAAGGAATTAAAACTAGGAAACGTTATCTGGAATTCCCTGGCTAATAATGCCAAATGTTAGTTTCCTGGTAGGATATTATTACTTGATTCTGTGGGGGCATCAGCTCCAGCATCATAGGAAAAAGTGTGGAATTATTCCTGAAAGGCTGCAAACGGTCGCTTGGGGTGTTTTTTCCTGTTGTGGCAGATCTGTCCTTGGTAGGATAAGGGGTAAGGATTTTGAACTGAGAGAGAGTAGATTTACATTAGATGCAGGAAGAAATTCTCCACTGTGAGGGTGGTGAGGCCCTGGCACTGCTGCCCAGAGAGCTGTGGGTGCTCTGTCCCTGGAGGTACTCAGTCATGCTGGATTGGGCCCTGGGCAACCTGAGATGGTGGGGGCAACGAGCCCATGGAGGGGTTTGAGTGAGCTTTAAAGTCCCTTCCAACACAAACCACTCTTAGGATTCTACCACTCGTACTGGGATAGTGATGCACAGTATGTGGGAAGCAATATCTTTACCATTTCCTGTTTCTAGGACTCTTGAGCCATTCCACTTTCTCAAGTAAAGGTTATCTGGATAAAGCACAGAATAACATCTTGCCTACATATGTAGGTTATCCACTAGCAGCTGGTATGAAAAGTTAATCTTGTGCTCGAACATGCATGTTAATAATGTGTAGGATGGGGTTCCCTTCCCTGGAAGTTATGTTGTACTCACCATTCCATCTGCTAAAGAGCTGTTCTTCCACACAACCCAACCATTGCCTGAACACAGCAGCACATAGATCATGCTATTGAGAAATGATGCAGTGTGAACTGTGTGGTTAAGTGTTTTAATGGCCTTCTGTTTGTGTTGTAGGTGGGAAGAGATGAAGCATCCTGAGCTGCAGTGAGCATCCAGTTGTGCCTCTTTCCTGATGAACTACTTCAGAATTTGTAAGAAATTGTTGGTGGCCCTGGAGAAATCTGAATACATATGAACATTAATTACATACAGAAAATTGCTATTACTTTCAGCTGCCAGCTTCACCTTTTGGAAGTGTGCAAGGCCTGTTTGTGACTACAGAAGCAAGATTAGAGGTTAAATTTAACATTTCCTGCATGCAAATAATATGAATAGAGAATGGAAGGGAAAATAATTCCTAGATTATGTCTGTGAAGGACTGTGATTTCATCCATATTTTTAAATCCAAATCCTCCTATCTTTTGCCTTTCTATCCTCAAAGATAACTTGAGTCTGGCTGCTTGAACTCTAGCAGCAAGGTACAATTCAATTTTACCTATAGTTCAGTGCTGAGTAGAACAAGACCTCTCTGCTTTTTGCTGGTAATTCTGGGTATAGATGGCTAGAAAGTGGGCTTAAGGGAAGCACATCACTTACAACAGTTCCAATTGCCTTTTCTTGTGAAACTCATGGTCTACTGCACTTACACTGTTTTCATTTGCCCCAGAACACAGGTATCTGCTAATGGAATTTTCTCTGCACGTAATTTATGTCAGTAACTATGGGTATAATGCAGGGAAAAAAAACTCCCATAAGAATCTCTTCATGTCACCATCAATCTGCAAACGTCTTCTGTGGTCTGAGTTCCCACAGCAGAGTCAGCTGTCCTCTGCATGCAGTTGGTGTGCAGAGGGAAGTGCTGGTCCTGAATTTGCCTGCTGCAGATGCCTGCAGTGGGATGAGTGTTCAGAACTGTGCTTACACTGGAGATCACAGTGCCACAGCAGCCATGGTGCTTTCTTTTATTTTTATTTTTATTTTTATTTTGAATCTTCTCCATGGATCAGTGATTCGTATTGGGCAAGCTGGGGTTCCATGTTATGGTAATAGCATATTTTCCATTTTCCCTGTACAGACAATTGTTCTCCAAGCTATGTCTGCATCTGCACAATTCTGAGATGTAATAAAGCACAGTGGCCAGAGGAGGCCTTTTTGTCGGTCTCTTTGATAATGTGTTCCTTCCCCCAGTGCTCTGTTTCTCTGTCAGTTCACAGGAACCTGCTCTCTTTTCAATGGGCCTGTCATGCCTCATTCCCTTCCTCCCATTTTTTTTTTTTTCTTCCAACAAAGCAAAACAGAGCTTTGTACCATCTGAATGAACTTCAAAGTAGCTAGAAAGGGCACCCAGGGTTCCTGGCACTTGTCATTGTCTCCCAGCCTGGCCAACATTTCCCTTCAGGTCTAATTACTTCCAAATGCTCTTAGATGCTTTGAAGAAACTTGAAGGGAGGGAGAAGCATGAAAGGTGGAAGAGGAAAAAGGAGACTTAAAGTGGAGGGAGCAGAATGCTTGAGCAGAAATGTTGATTGATTCCTTATATGACACCCAAACATAAACAGGGGCTGTGTGCGGCCACCGGCAGCGGAGGCTGCAAGAGCACTGTGTGCAGACATGCTGCTCTAAGTTCTTTTCTTGAAAGGCAAGCCCTTCTGGTGCTTGATGTCTATAAAAGGTGTATTACAGCAAAACAAAGCAAAATTAAAATAGTGTTTAAAGCTTACTACTTCAGAGGATTGTGTGGGCTGAGCTTGCAGTCTGTCGCTTGGTTCAGGTGCTCTGTCATGCTCATTGCTTTCACAGAAGTTAGAAGTATGCTGCAGCTACAGCTGCTGTGCTGAGTTTGTGCAGGATGTGTTGGAGGCCCACGAAGAGCCATAGGTTGGCTCCCAGCATAGGCAGTGATGTACTCGTGCTGCTGTTTGAATCACTGGGTTAAGAGTAAATAGGAGTGTTTTGGATAGCAGGAAGCTGTACTGGGCTTCAGGTGTGCTACTCTTTGTTTCTGAAGAGCACAGGCAACATCAAGTGCCTTAGCTGGTTTGATTTCATCAGTTTTGTCACTTGTGAGTACGTGGTATGGGCAAAGAGAAGGAAATGTCTGGGGACATGAACAGCACTATCAGCACTAATGGGGCAGTTTATTGGTTAAGTACAGGAGTGAGGATTAGGAGGTTAATATCAGGTCTGTCTTGACCCAGCCGCTGCTCACAGAAAATTAGGTGTGACTTAATCTGACAGAGGCACCAATAAATCTCGGCCCAGTTTCTTCTCTGTGGCTGGGATGAGCAACAGCTGCAGAACCAATACTGGGTTTAACCAGATGCCCAGAGTTAACTTTCTAATCATTTTAAAATCAAGATACAACTGGTTTACCCAAACATACCCTAATAGTGGCTGTGCCAGTCAGAAGAGGTTTCTGGTGAGGATTGGACCCCTGCAGCTGAGCCCGCGCAGCTGCATGCACTGATTCAGTCCTGTTTGTGCATGCTCCTTGTGTAACACAGTGCATCAGTTTCATCTATTGCTGTTTTAATAGAATGAAAAATGGATATTCCATGGATATTCCAACAACCAGATCGGGTCTTACTCTCCTATGCAAAAAAAAAAAAAAGAAAAAAAAAAAGCTCCTGCTATTAAAATACCACTTTACCACTAACATCCAAATCTGCAGTCCTCTTCAGTCAGGAATGCTGGTGGTATGGGCCAGGGAAACGAAGCTGAGCATTTTTAGATCCCTTTGTGTGTCACCAAGACTCAGAATGGGGGAGAGATGATTTGGAATCCAGATAAGGTTAAAGGAAAAAAAAGTAGGGGTGGATTCTTTTAAAGGGACCAGAGGCTGTGGTGTGTGCAGGCTCTTCCTAAGGTACTTGCTACAGAGATTCCTACCACGCTGCAGAACGATGCGTGCAGATTCTGGCTTTGTTTTCTCTCTTCTGCTGCAGTATCTAACTCATCCCTAGGGGTGTTGGGCATTCAGAGGTAGTATTATCTGCATTTTTTGCTGTTGCCCTTTTTACCGTATGGTCGTGGGGCTGAAAGCTGAACTAGGTCAGTTATTTCCCTGGTTTCATGGTACAGCTGCACAAACAGTTCTCTTGGCAGAGAGGCTGCAGTTCAGAGGGTTGGGGCACTGCCTCGCCTGGTACCATCACCAAAAAGAATGCGTATTAAATTGTGGTTTTGGTCCAAATTTCCACGTGGCTTCCATCCAGAGTGATGACCTTGACAGTTCTCAGCTGAGGCACTACAGCGACCTATTGAGCTGTGCCTGCTACAGCTGTCAGCTGGAAAAAAAACCCAAAAAACTGCTCCCTATTACTAATCAAAGGCTGCAACCAGGCAGCAGCACTGCACAGCCCTTTGGACACACGGCCGTCAGCTGCTTTCCATGCAGCCGGCTCCGCACTTCCCAACAAAGCCGGCTCAGTTGTGTGGGTCCTTTCCTCCATGTGCGAGGTTTCCTATTTCACAGCTCCCCCATCCTGCCCCCCTGCCGGCCCAGGGGCCGAGCTGTCCCATGATGTGGGATTCTCACACATGCTGTTTGTTATTCTGTCCTTTTTCCTTTCGTTCTACAAAGATTTAAAGAAAGAGGGTGGGTGAGGGGAAAACCATGCAAGTCTTTGAAGCAACTTGACTTTTGATGATTAATTGCAGCAATGAGCCTGCACAAGGGGGGGGGAGCCTCGTTTTTGATTTATTGATGTTTCTTTGTGAGAACAAATTTATAGCAGAGGGGAAGCAGCTTCTGAGGAGAATATCAAATGGTTAAAAGGTTCTGAGCGCTCTTTGATGTCACAGCCCTGGAGAAATACTGGAAGGTAGTGAAGGACAGACACTGTTTATTTATAAAATAAAGATCAGATACCTGCTTTTGGCAAGAGCCTGTAACGGAGCTCCTGCTAACAACCTATTCATTAGCCAGGCTTGGAGCCGGACCTGAAGTTTCTGCCGCTGCCGCCCGCTGAGATGAGGAGAGCCTGATGTTTGGATGACATTTCCAGCCATTAAGTCTTTCCATGCCTCTCATCGTCCGAAGAAGCACCTGTTTCTCACATTAGCTGAGAAAGCAACAGCAGCTTTACCGTGCTGATGGGCACACCGTTAAAGAAGGAAGGCAGTGAGAGGGAAACCAGTTACAGCCCACCAAAGCCAGTGAGCGGAGGCCTCTATTCAAAAACAGCATCTGCCATCAGAGCCTTGATACAGGAGCGGGGGAGCAGAAGCAATTGGGCAGAGGAAGGAGATGACACTGTTCTTCCTAGAGCTGGACTCAGCATCAGGCCGGGATCTTCTGCCAGCGGCTGAGCCATCACTTCTGCCTCACCACGTCTCTAGAAATCTAAAAGCTGTAAGGAAAGAGAAGAGCAGGGGCTAAAGGCAGCAAACCCCTGGGGCACAAATGAAGGTAAGGAAGCAGCCTCACTCACCAGCTGGGGCAGCACCTTCTCCACGTGCTCGATGTCCACCTTCTCCAGGTCCTCCGCCTGTGCCTGTCGCGCTGCTCGCGCCGCAGCTTCTGCGGTGCAGCCGGAGAGAGAGCGCTGCGACCGCGGTGCTCCGGGGGGGGGGGGGGAAAACATCCCCCCTTGGCTGGGAGGGGGGCAGAGTGGGGGCAGGGCGGTCCGGGGACGCGGGTGGGGCCGGGGGTTGCGGGGCGCTCACCTCGCACGAAGACCGTCAGCAGCTCCGCCATCAGCAGCAGCGCGTCGCCGTTAACTGCGAGGACAGAGCGCTAAGCGGGGCTGGGGGGGAACGGAAGGGAGGCCCCGCGACCGCCGGCCCCGCCGCCCCGCCGCCCCGCACCTCGCGTCCTCCCGTCTCGGAAGTGCAGCCGCAGCAGCCGCTCCACCGTCTCCTGTGCGGAGAGAGCAGCGGTGAGGCGGGGCGGGGCCGGTCGGACCGGGGCCGCTCCGCTCCATTCCGCTCCGCACCTTCCTGAAACAGCCTTCCCGCTCCTCCATGGCGCCGCCCGTCCCACCTCCCGGACGCGCGCGGGGCGGGGCGGAGCGGAGCTCGGTTGCTCGGCGGCGGCAGCGCCGCGCTCGGCGGCGGTCGGTAGCGCCCCGCGGCCATGGAGGAGTTCCGGCGGGCCTACGAGCGGCTGTGCGCGGCGCCGCAGGATGCCGTGCTGCGGCGGCTGAGGGAGCGCGGGGAGGCGCCGGGTCGGGCCCGCCTGGACCTGACGGAGCAGAGCCTTTCGCTGGAAACGTGCGGAGCGCTGGGCCGCCTGCTGCCCGGGGCTGCGCACTTCGCCGAGGTGGCGCTCGGAGATTGCGGCCTGAGCGAGGACGGTGGGCGCGGGGCTGCGCCGGGAGCCGCGCTGCTCTCATGGAGCCGTTGCTAAGGGACGGCGTTGCGTCCGGCCCGGGCGGAGCGCGAAGTAAACGGCTTTCTGTCTTTTCGTACCCAGGTGTGAAACTCCTGCTGCACGGCCTGTGTTCCAATACCACCGTCAAATCTTTGGATTTGAAGGTGAGTTTGTTAAGAGGCTGTGGCCCTGCGTGCACCCCTCGCACTCTCAGGGCAGCCCTCAAATCGTAGCCCTGTGAGGCCCCAACGACTGGGGTGATGCCACCGATTGTCCTTAGGATGTGGTAAGAGTACTGGGAAGGGATTGGGATGAGAGCTGTTGGAGAGGGTCCAGAGGAGCCACAAAGATGATCAGGGGCTGCAGCACCTCTCCTACAAAGACAGGCTGAAGGAGCTGGGCTTGTTCAGCCTGGAGAACAGAAGGCTGCGGGGTGACCTCATTGCAGCCTGCAGTACCTAAAGGGAGCCTAAAACAGGAGGGGAGTAAATTCTTTGGAAGGGTAGATAATGGCAGGACAAGGGGAAATGGTTTGAAGTTGAAGGAGGGAAGATTGAGGTTGGATGTCAGGGGGAAGTTCTTTACTGTGAGAGTGGTGAGGTGCTGGAACAGCTGCCCAGAGAGGCTGTGGATGCCCCATCCATCCCTGGAGGTGTTCGAGGCCAGGTTGGATGGGGCCCTGGGCAGCCTGGGCTGGTATTAAATGGGGCAGTTAGTGGTGCTGCCTGTGGCAGGGGTTGGAGCTTCCTGATCCTGAGGTCCCTGCCAACCCAAGCCGTTCTGTGATAAGAGTAAAACAGACAGAGGGATGGGAAAAGAAGTAGGAACATGAGCTCAGCCGGAGTTAGAAACAACCCCACAACACGGCTGTGCAGTTCTGTGCATGTCCTGTTCTCCTGCGCCTCATCTTTGCCACAGCTCCCTATAATTACCTTGCAGCTCATCTTTGGTTTTACTGATCTGTTTTGATAGGAAGCTGTCGCTGTGGGTCACTGGGCTGTTGCTGCATGGTCAGTTGGAGGCTTTCCATTAGTTTTCTCTGTTAACGAGTGCATTTGTAGCAGCTTGACTCGAGCATCCTTCTAGCTGGTGTACGTCTGCTTTAACAGACTGAAATCAGCATTACAGCCAGAGTGCACCTGGTGCTGTGAGATGGGATGGCTGCATTGGAGCAGAGTGTTTCACTGATCACTCAGCACTTTCATTTCAGGGCAATAACCTGCGAACCACAGGAGCTGAGGCACTGGGAAAACTTCTTAGGCAGAACAAATCTATCAGGAGGTGAGAAATTCTCTCTCTTTCTGTTATTCCTACCAAATGGAACCTCAAGTTGGAAAAGAATGAGGGATGAGGGCGAACTTCTTGGGCTAGGAGGGATGTCAGGAGTGCCTGTGGCTTAGGTGAAGGAGTGAGAACTGGAGGTGCCTCTTCTGGGGATGCAGAGCACTCTGCTCTCTGAGGCTGTGTTAGGGTGGCTGGGTGCTGTGATCCAGGTGTCATTCAGGCTCTTGCAGCTGTCCTTTTACAAACTCCAACCCTGTCTGACTTTTCCTTAGCTTAATCCTGGAGTGGAACAGCCTGGGTGTATGGGAGGAAGGCTTCTCCTTTTTCTGCCAGGGACTGGGAGCAAACAACTTTCTCCAGAAGTTAGATCTGCGCAACAACCAGATCAACCATCACGGGGCAGGAGAGCTGGCCGTGGCACTGAAACGAAATGCCAGCCTTCAGGAGTTGGGTGAGAGTGGCTGTTTGTCCACATACGTGTTCACATGCACATGGAATCATTGTACCAACGCTGATCTCTGCCAACCAGTGAGCATCATTCCCAGTTCTTATTAACCTGGATCACATTGTATGCTGGGAACTGTCACTGGGATCTCAGCACTTCAGGTTCATTTTTGCCTTCCTGCTCTGCCAGTTGTTTTCCTTCCCTTTCATTCATCTTAAAAAGGGAGTTAGTAGTCACTGCTGTGTTTGTGCTGAGACCTTACGGGATTGGTTAGCCATGCATGTAGAGGTATAAAGAGCATGGCTTCTCTTGAGCCTTGTGTGTTTCAGCACATGTGGCTATTGGGGTGAAAGATTGCTTTCTGTATAGATCTACGTTGGAATAACATTGGGCTTCTGGGAGGCCGAGCTTTGCTGAACTGCCTGCAGAGCAACAAGACCCTGAAGAAGCTGGAACTGGCTGGGAACAATGTTCCCAGTGACATCCTGAAAGCTGTGGGTAAGTAGGACTTAGAATTATAGAATTATATAGGTGGGAAAAGACCTTTCAGATCATCAGGTCCTCTTATCAACCTAACTCTACTGAGTGTACCACTTAAACCATGTCCCTAAAGTGCATGGGAGAGAATCAGTAACTCTTCTCCAGTCTCAGCCCTTGGGGAATATAGGGTACTTGCTGCTCCAGAAGAGAGCTGTCCCTCTTTCTCTCCATTTCTCTACAGCCTATACACAGTGCTCAATGTTATTTCTTTCCTCTCCTGTTCTCTCTGCATCAGAACAAGCCATGGATCACAACCAGGACCGTCAGACCATCCTCAGTGAGACACAGCACCGAACTTGTGTGCTCAGCAAGGAGATATTGAGTCTGAAGGATGAGAAGACCAAGCAGGTCAGCCATCCTTCGTCAGCACTTCAAACTGGTCAGCTGGAATCCAGTGCCTTCTTTCAGTGCCCCATTGTGCCCCAAAGATGCCTTCCTGCATCTCCTCCTGGATGTTTGTGAGCAGTACACAGCACTGTTCAGTAAATAGGCTCCTTCTACTGAGCCTAGTTTGCCCAGGAATCAAATCCATGACAGTGCAGGTATTGACACATCCCCTGCTGAGCATATTCGCTCTGGATTCTTGTGGAGTTCTGGTGATTTTCTTTGCCCATATTCATACTTCAAATTTCTTCTTTAGTAACTGAATTGATGTTTTCTGAACAGTGAAAACTTAGAAATATCACGCAGTTTTCCTTCTGGCCCTCAAAGTTGCAGAGCCCTGCAGGTAATGACCTCAGTCAGACATGCTGATGAACCCCTTCAAACCTGCAGTCTGGTTTCTTCCAAGAGAGTGATGTGAGCTCTCTTCTGCTGTCATTAGGAAGAGAAACCTGACAGATACAAATGCTCCAAGGTGATGCAGTTCATTTTTTCATGTGTGTGTGCCTTGTTCACAGTTCTTGGATTTGATGGACACTATAGACAAACAGAGAGAAGAAATAGCCAGGAGTGGCAGGTGAGTTGGATTTGAATGCTTTCTGCTGTTGGATAGCAGTATTGGACCCTTTCCATTTCCTGATAGAAATTAGCCACTCCTTTTTTTTTCTTCCCCAAATTCAGGATATCTGCAGGACGTGTCAGCCAGCTGCAGGAAGCATTGAATGAGCAGCACTCTATTATGAATTCACTGAAAGCCAAGTATGGAAGAGGAAAGCCTTAACCTTCCCAATCTTCTGTGCTGTACAGGCAGGGCTGAGCAGAGCTGTTAAGGGGCTAAGCTCGAGTGGCTGGCTTAGCATTTCACATAATCATATCTGCAGTAATACCCAGAAGTGATGGCCAGATCAGGTTTTTAGATAACTAATTATGACCAGATCAGGCTTTGATTAAAAACACAGTGCACTGCTGTAAAAGCAAGTGAATTACAGAGAGTGAACAAAAAGAAAAAGAATAGTGAGGATGGGGATATTTTTCTTCCACAGTTTGCAGCCTGGTGAAAGTCTGTCCCTGCTTTCCCTGGCAGTTGACAGGATTCTCTGAGAGCCACTGTAGACATGGGGGAACATGACCAGCAAGGTTTTGTGTTCAGGAGCAGTGAACTGGAACTGCCTAACAGTGCTGTTACACTGAGTAGAGCCATATGCATGTGAGAATGGTTGGACTTCAAACACTTAATGGCACTGGCTACTTCAGCTAAAAGTGGTTTCATTACATGGTGCCTCAGAGTGGACACATCTTCATATACAGAGTAAGCAGATCACTTTCACTGCCTGTGTTCAAAATTCTGTTCCTAATTCCTAATTCCATAAAATTCTTCCTAATTTTAAAGAATCTTGCAGTGGTGTAAAAGAGCCAGCCTTATTCTCCTCTGAGAGTGGGCAAATCCTGGAGGGGTCCAGGCATGGAAATCACTTCATTGAAAATAGGCTCATATATGTTAGCATCTTGTAGCACGTAGTGCATGGTGCTCTCTTGGAGTGTCTCCCTTAGAAAGGGCTCTGGAAAGTGTTTCTCTGTGCAGGCTGCAGATGACTGAAGCTGCCCTGGCTCTGTCTGAGCAAAAGGTGCACAACCTGGGAGAGCTGCTGAGTGCCACGAAACAGGAACAGGCCAGCATGGCTGAGCGCCACTTTGCAGAGCTCCAGCAGCAAAAACAGGTGGGCTGGGTCAATCCTAGTTAGGTTGGAGACCTGGGCTCTGGGTCATACCTGCTTCGTGTGGGTTTGGGGGATGCTGGTTGGGTTAGGCAAGCATGACTCCATGAGTGGGTTTGCCACAGCTGCTGTGACAAACGTTCCTGTGGAAATGAGACAGGTGAGCGTGAGGGTGGAGAGGAGCTGGGGCATCTGTGGATGGGTTGGATTGTAGTTGGGCGCAGTGTTGGTTGTGCTACCTTGGTAGTGCAGAGAACTAAGTGAGTATGCGAGTTCTTTTTAATTCTGCTGCTGTTTGCAGGAAGGTGCTGAGCGGGAAGG